TTCTTTAAAGAAAGATTGACCTTTTAAAAAAAATTTATTTGGCTGCGGAGGTCTTAGTTGCAGCATGTGGGATCTAGGGGTCTTAGCTACTAGACCACCAGCGATGTCCCAAGACTGACCTTTGACCTAAGCTCTTGGACTCCAAGTTCAGAGCTCCTTGGGCTTCCCTGGTTAGCTCATTCAGTAAAGAGCCTGCCTGTAATGCAGGAGATCTGGGTTCAATCCCTGGGTCAGGAAGATCCCCGGGAGAAGGGAATGGCAACCCGCCCCAGTGTGCTTGCCTGGAGAATTCCACGGACAGAGGAGCCTGGTTACAAGAGTCAGACACGACTGAGCGACTAACACTTCCACTTTCAGGGCTCTTTACAGCATGTGGAGTGGCTATGGCTTTGGCCTTTTAAGGCTCTGAGAAGCATGTGACACAGAACACTACCATCTTACTGTCACCGCAGGCACAAAAGGCCAAAATCATCTCAGGTTTTCTTTTATTTTACATGTTAACATGGATTTCTTGCAAGGATGATTTTTTTTTTTTTTTGTCATGACCATTCAGCCTCTGGTATGTAGCCTCTGACCTGTCATTACAAGGTTTGGTTGCTAATTACTTTCATCATCCTCACTTAATTAATGATTAACTGTTAAAATTTTGTGATAGTTTTTTGTCTTTGATATAACACAAAATGCTGTTAGGATGAGTTTGTACCTTATTTGAGCTAGATGTATAATTAACAACAGATCTTAAACCTTAACAATTTTTGCTGAATTTCTTCTAGGAAGCACAAAATGGACTCGGCAACACACTTAACACTTTGAAAAGAGTATGTTTGTTTTTACAGTTTTTATTTTCCTTTTCTGATATTTGAAATTTCACACATTTTGTGGACAGTCTGAATGCAAGTCTATATTCCAAAAAGAAATCACTTATTTAACATTTCAACTCGAAAATGTAAACTGTCCATTCATCAAAAGTCTGGTTCAGACCTCCCCAAATCTTAACTCCCTGCCAGACTGGCTCCTGCACTTTGACATCATTTTGTTTACTCTCCTTTTATGGGAACCGTTATAATTATTCATAAATATGGTTTCTTATCTTTCAAATATATCCAGAATCCAACAGTTTTTTCCCATCTTCACTTCCACCACTCTCATCCAAGCCAGTGTCACTCCTGCCTGAAATTGAAAGTCGCTTAGTTGTGTCCAGCTCCTTGCGACCCCATGGACTACACAGACCATGGAATTCTCCAGGCCAGAATACTGGAGTGGGTAGCCATTCCCTTCTCCAGGGGATCTTCCCAACCCTGGGATAGAACCCAGGTCTCCAGCATTGCAGGCAGATTCTCTATCAGCTGAGCCACAAGGGAAGCCCTAGATCATTGCAATATCTTTCAAACTGGTCTTGCTTTTTCATCTCTGGGCCTCTTACCTCCATTTAAGTCTATTCTCAACACAGCAATCAGCATGATCCTGTAAAAACTTTGGCCAGATTATGGTACTTCTTTCCTCAAATCCATTCACTGACTGAGTACAAAGGTGAAGTCCTTATAGAGACTGCCCCCTCACCCCCAAGCCTCCAGCTTCTCCTCTTTCCCTCATTACCTCCCAATGTTCCTTGAACTCGCTAAGCATCTCTTGCCATAGGGCCTTGTCCTCTGCTGTTCTCCCTGCCTGAAAAACTCCAGGTATCACTTACCTTGCACCTCAGCTTTCTCTAAGTCTCTGCTAAAATGTCACCTATTAAACAAGAGGCCTTCCCTATTCCCTATATAAAAGTAGCAAACCTATCTCCTATCCTTTCCATTACTTTATTTTTGCTATTGCACTTACTACTGCATAAAATATATTTGATTATTGCTTGCTTCCCCTCCCTTCAATAAAATATAAGCACTCCATGAGGGCAGGGACTTAATCTGGTCACTGCTGTACCCCCAGCACCTAGAACAATCCCTGGCACACAGTAGGCAATCGGTAAGTATTTACTGAGTAAAGGAATGACCCTTTCACTATAGATCATAGCTCCTTGAATTCCTCTGTACCTTTTTCACATCACCAATTGTGAAGACTTTCATCCAGTGGACCCTTAAAAAACATTTAAAATTAAAGAACAAAGGAATTGAAGTTACCAAGAAAAGAATGCTTGGGACAAGTCTACAGAGAACGAGGGGGACTAGAATGCCAGCACCTACATACACTGGAAAGCACACTGGTTCTAAAAGAAAAAGATGGTTGTGGAAGGGGAACCAGAGCTTTCCCCAACTGACAACATTCCTGGGCTCCGTTAGTATTTCTAAGGCAACTGTGAAAGTTATCCATGTGTAAATAAAATCTTAAACCAGTAGTCTTAATTCACTAATCTTTTTTTTTTCTTTCCACAGTTGGCATTTACTAATGAAACCAGGATCCTTTTAACTTAGTCAGGACAAATCAACAAAGTGATGGCAAGTTTACAATCATTTACTAAAGCTTACTGAAGGGGGCCTTGAGGCAATCATCCCAGCTTTTAAGCTCTCTTCTGATGAAGTGATAGAGTCTGAAAATACCAAATAATTTAAGCAAAACCAGGCCGCTAAAAGAATTTATAACTTATTAAACTTTTTACACTCTGAAAACTAGAAATTCTTAGTGACAACCCCCACATGCCTTTCCAGTAAGTTTATTACAATTAGTTTCCTCTGACAGGTTATAAGACAAACATCCAGTTTGCTTGAGTTTTTAAAATATTTATTTATTTGGCTGCACTGGGTCTTAGTTGCCACAAGTAGGACCTTAGTTCCCTGACCAGGGATTAAACGCAGGTGTCCTGCACCCGGAGCAAGGAATCTTAGCCACTGAACTCCAGGGATATCCCTAGTTTGCTTGAGTTTTAAAAGGATATTTCATTTACCCCACCTGAATAACCAATAAAGACATAACTTGGCAAAGGGAAAAGAGGGGTTTAATTTACTATTCTTGATTAAACTGTATGTATCAAGCCTGGTTTCTTAATTCATACATTCATTTTTACATGCTCATCTTACTTCCTCCAGTTCTTCCTTGAGTCTGTGCTCGAGACCACACATTTTTCCTTGTTATTCCCGATTCAAATCAAAATAATGGGTATCTTCCCATTATTTTGGCTGTGGTCAAGAACCCGCCTGCGAATGCGGGTTCGATCTCTGGGTCGGGAAGATCTGGACGAGATGGCAACCCACTCTACTATTCTTACCTGGAGAATCCCATGGACAGGGAAGCCTGGCGCGCTGCAGTCCATGGGGTAGCAAAAGAGTCCGACCGGAGCGACTAAACAATCGGACCCTACGGATATCGTTTAAGCATCCTAACAATCTCTGGAGATAAGACATTACTAATATGCTTAAGAAGAGGGCGTCAGAGGATGATAAGGTGGAGGGCATCACCGATGCAATGGACATGAACTTGGGCAAACTTCAGGACATGGTGAGGGACAAGGAGGCCTGGTGTGCTAGTCATGGGGTCGCCAAGAGTCGGACACGACTGGGCGACTGAAAAACAACAATATGCTTAAAGTTGGCAAGGACTCAGACAGGGCAGGCGGTGGCCGGTACAAGGCGCCTCCTGAACAAACGCCGGACTAACAACGCCGGGCACAGGATTCTAACCCGGGATACCTGGCTTCCGGGCCACCGAACACCGACCGACACCACACGCAGGCCTCCTGCGGGTGGACCAAGTTGGGAGCCGGCTAAGCCTCTGCAGGAGTTGCCTCCTAAAAGGCAGGAACACGACTGCGCAGATTGCCAGGCCAGCACAAGTACTTTTGCCCAGGTCTCCGCGGGGTCGGAAGGCTTTGGCATCGATCCGAGAAAGCGGTTTTGCCCACCAACGCCTCGGAAACTCAAGTTTTTGGGTGTGTGCTGGCGCAGCACACACCGAGGGATGAATAAAGCGCTTTGGAAGCTGCAAGCCACCAGACAAAACGGTAGAGAAGAGGAAGCTTTGGAAAACAATACCTGGACGAGGCGGACGAGGAATAAGTTGCTGACAACGGGCACCGGTCAATAACTGGGGGTAGGGTTGAGGGGTTGGAGGGAGCAGAGATACTCCCGAGAGGCTGCAGCCCTTCCCCGGGGAACCGGCGGCGCCCCGAGCGCCCGTTTCCTGGGTCCGAGTCTAAAGGTGAGCGGGAACGGCCCAGGCCAGAGCCGCCCCCAGAGCCCCCTCAGCCCGGGCACGGGACCTCCTTCTGCAAGCCGTCCCCGCACGGCCTGGTCCTCCGCGCCGCGTCCCAATCCGAAGGCCCTCGGCTCTTCCCCGAAGCCCTCCCGGTCAATCGACCGGCCGCCAGACGCCAGCCGCCCGCCGCCGGCCCCAAGCCCGCTCACCTGCGCTCCCCGAGTCCTCCGTCTGCTCCCTCCCGCGGCTTCTGGAACCGATCCTCGGCCCCGCCCCCTGCCCGCCCCACCTCGCCCCGCCCCCTTCGAGCCGGAACTGCTCCCTTCCGGGCCCTTTTCCCCGCCTCCCCGGCCCCCACCAGTGTGGCGTCACTTCCGCCTGTGCCAGGCGGCGCGCCGGCTGTCCGGGTCTCGCGCACGCGCCGCGCCGGGAGCGTCCCAGAGCCGGGAGCGCGCCCCGCGGATGACAACAAATTCGTTGCGCGGCCTCTGTGGAGGTGTCCGCCTCACCGTGGCCTCAGGCCCTGCCGTCTCCCCGCGTGCTCTCTGTACCCTCTCTCCAGTGCCGACTAGGACCCTCCTCGGATACCTCCCGGCCCCCGGGCTTGGGGCTAACAGGGACTCTTCAGCGACTTGTCCCCTCCAGGCCTAGCGCGAGCGGCGCCGCACAGGCGATGGGGTCGCCCTGAGGGACGCCCGGCGCCGAGCGGGCATGGAGGGGCCTCCCCGGGCTTAGGCTTCGCCGAGGCCTGGGCAGGCCGGCCCCAGGACGCCGCCGCCGCTGCCCCAGCCGCGGCCTGGAGCAGGAGCCTGGCCGGAGCCCCCAGGTCGGAGCCGCCCGCAGCCCTGCCAGCCCAGCTGCCAGCCCTCATCATGCCTTGGCCGTTTTCGGAGTCCATCAAGAAGAGGGCCTGTCGGTACCTCCTGCAGAGGTACCTGGGCCACTTTCTGCAGGAGAAGCTGAGCCTGGAGCAGCTCAGCCTGGACCTGTACCAGGGCACCGGGTCCCTCGCTCAGGTCCCCTTGGACAAATGGGTAAGAGGTGCTGGCGGCCAGCCCGGGTGGAGGGAGGGGGACACAGTCTCCTCCTCAGGACGATCTGAACGAGTGTCATCGAGGACGGGTGACGTTCCATCCCTACCTGGGGGTAGTTTGGCTCCAGGTACGGTAGGACTCCGAGAAATATGTAACAAGTGTCGTTCAGTCCGTTTCTAGCAAGTTTGCCCTTCCAAATCACGTGTTCCAGAAGCTCAGCAAAGGTAATGGAGTCCACACTGCGGCCATCAGTGGAGTCCGTGGTTTGAGGTGGGGGTCTGTGAAGCTGGCTGAAAGGAGTCCATGGAAGGACACAGCCCCTTTAGAGTAAGAGGGGTCTCGGGGTTGTGTGCAGACAAGTCGTATTTCGTGGCATGACACTCCCCGAAAAGACCGAGGGTGGGGAGGACCTGCGGGGATGTCAGAATGCCTGGGTATTCCTTTATTTATTTGGGGTTGGTCCCTTTCACCCCGCGGCCTTAGTCCAGCGTCTGGCATTTAGAAGAAACTTAGGTCTCCTCTGCCGGTTTGTTGCTTTCGCTCCTGTAAAGGCCAATCTTTGGATGGTCGTGTGGCCCTAATAGGGATGTTTGGTTGTGCCTGTTTGCTTCACCGTGACAGATCGTAAAAGCGGGTGTTGCAAAGTGCTGAAGCTGCACTCTTAAAAACCTGTCTTCTGCTTGTCATCCAGGGGTTGTGAATTGACTCATATAACAGGTACTTCATGTATCGTTGTACCTGCATCCCTGTGTTCTCAGCGCATAGTATTTTACTTGATGTGTATTTCGGCTTTGAGTTTCGCAAGAATGAAGGGGCTCTCCACCGTTCCCCAACTCTTTATTTGTTCCACTAGAGTTTGCTGCTCACAGTTTGAATCGGTTTTACTGTTCTGAAGTATCATTGTTCTGTTACTATTCTAAAAGCTTTCCAACACAGTTTACGTTAAGGAAATCATCAACATAGGTGACTTTGCTGTGGTAATTGGGCAAAAGAAAAGGAAACTTTTTTTTTTAGTGTAAGTTGTGTAAAAAGCTCAAATGTTTTGTTTTGTTTTTTCCTTGTATGTAAAAGCATTTTAACAGAGTAATGACTTCCTTAGTCATAGAACCCCCGAAAAACTCACATTATGGTAACACCTTATTATGACCGGTGAATGAATTTGTACTGGTATAAACAAGCATATAGTTTTATCAGCAAGTGGATGACCTCAGCTAGGGAGAGTGCACACAGAATAGTGGGAAGAATCCTGGCTTGAGTAACAGGAGGACCAAGTCCTCCCCTGACCCTCCGGGACTCGCCCATGCTGCCAGTTACAACAGTAACAGTGGATATAGTAATTCACCTGAGTTCAGTAAATATTAATGGAGTATCGTCTCCATGCCAGGCGCTGTGTCAGGGAACTCCATTGCCGTAATTCTTACCAAAAGATAGGGACTCTGATGGATATTTTAAAATTCATTGACCTGTAAGTCTGTTCTTTTGGAACAGTTATGACTAGGCTATCTTGAAGGAGGAGGGTTGGACATTGATTAACAGTCTTGTTTAGGTCAAATGACTTTGCTGCATTATTTTCTAATTTTTAGTATTCATTTATTTATTGAAGTATAGTTGGTTTACAGTGTTGTATGTATGCATTATTCTTTAATGACTTTTCACGTTAACCCTATAATGTGGGTATTCATATTTCCATTTTACAGATGGAGTTAAATAATTTGCTTGAGATTATTATATCACACATATAGCAAGTGGTATAGTGAGAATTCAAATCTAATTCCTAGGCCTGTTATTTCTTCATTAATCACATGGCTTCAAGCCAAAGAAGGAGCAGTTAATATAATTGAGCATTTGTTTATTTCAGGTACTATCTGGGCACTCTCATTTGTGAGGTTTTATTTAATCCTCATAGGAAAATCACAGGTGGTAATATTTGAATTTTGCAATTTGACTTTAGGATCATTGGAAAAATAACTTATGGTTGGACTTAATCCAAAGGTTATGTTTTATTCTGCTTCTTGAAGGTGAAGAACATGCCCAGCCAAAATGATAATGTTGAATAAAGTATCCAGTAAACATGGCTGTTGCTGATTTCTTTAATTATAGTGTCAATGACTGTGTTAATAACTGTGTTAATGACTAAGATAAATCTTGGTGTGACATTTAGATATAACTAAACTTCTGATTCCAAATTCATTTACTTCTGACATTTGATTTTAATGACTTTCATGATGAAAAAAAAAGTTACCTTACAGAGATTTATAGATCCAAATGGGAGAATACTGTCACTGACAATGTTCTTTTTTTTTTTTTACTGACAATGTTCTGAGGTTTCAATTCTCATCTGTCAGTTATGCACAAGATTGTGTTGAAATCACTTTTGACATTCCCTTCTTCCTTGATCTCAATTAATTATTCTTGCTAATTAGTTGGACGATGTTGTGTGTGTGTATATATATATATATGTATAAAAACTTTAAAACCCCCTTTTAAGAACTTTGTTCAAAAGACTTTAAATTTATTGAGATAATTTTTCATGTTTTCAAACCTTTGTAACCTGTCTAGATGATGACTTAAAAAATAGGGTTTTAATAGATACTTCTTCAGCTACAAAATCATATAACAGTGGAAACATTTCCAAATGTAAGTTTTAAAAATGTCCTCTCCATAGTAGAAATACCCTTTAAAAAGAAGCTACTTTTCTCACTCATTAATGAAGTGGTATCTTTACTTTTAAATGACAGATTGTGGGCCGCCAGACTCACCCTCTGCAATGGCCCACACTCTGTCTGTGGAGTGTGTTTCTCTCTAAATAAATTCACTTTTTACCTATCAAAAAAAAAGTTATGTTTTTTTGGAGTAGAACTGCTATTGGAGTATGATAGCATATACTACTGATAGCCATGTGTCATCACATAAAAGGTAGGTGTGTTTAAAATTCTAATCTTTGTGAAGAGGAAAATTGCTTATTATCTTTAAATTCAACTCCTAAATATTTGATCGTAAGAAAATCAGAAACTTACTGTCATTTTCTGTCTCTCACAGAGATTCTACTGTGTAAAGGTCTGTGTTTATTATGTAGATTATATGCGCAAGTGTCAGTGCATTGAAATGGAACATCCAACCAAGGGTACCACTCTTCACTCTTCCATTGTGGAACTGCTAGTCTTCTCTTGGTACCAGTCTGATGTGTGGCCTGAGTCAGAATACAGATATCCATTTGTATATTAAGTACAGTACAACTTTTGCATCTGTTTTAACTTTATTTGAATGGTGATGCCTGGGTTTAAACTAATAAGGATGTATTCTTTTCCTAGTTAGTCTCATGATATGTATTAAAAAGAAGCGTACAACTTACGTTTGCTTTTCTTCATTCTGCCAAGCACACCTTAAATTCCTAATAGTGCTTACCATTGTGCTCGCTGGGCACTGTGGAAGACAGGGAACAATAGCTGGCACTTATAAAGTAGTGGCTTGGTACCAGGGGCCATGTTGGTAGCTTTACGTGTTGTTTCATTTACACTCATAGTAACCTTGAGAAATTGCTATTTTCCCTGTTCCATGGATGGGGCTCCCCAGCTGGCACAGTTGGTGAAGAAGCTGCCTGTCAGTACAGGAGACACAAGAGACACAAGAGATACAGGTTCGACCCCTGGGTTGGGAAGATCCCCTGGAGTAGGAAAGGGCATCCCACTCTGGTATTCTTGCCGGAAAGGTTGCAGAGAGTCGGACATGACTGAGTATGCGCTGGCTGGCTGGCTGGCTGTTTTATGGATGAGGAAATTGAGACTCATGTTAAAAACTTGTCCAGAACCACCCAGCTCGTAAGTGACTGAGCTACTGTGTTTTGTTTTCTTTTTTTTCTTTTGCGCTACTATGTTTTAAGACTATTCTTTTTTTTTTAAAGACTATTCTTAAAACATCTTTGCCCAATTTTCTTTCAGAAATTTCTGAAAAACTGCTATATTCCTTGTCCATTTTTAAATTGACTTAAAATTTTTTCATTATAAGTTTAAGTGTGTGTGCATGTGTGTGTGTGTTAGTTGCTCAATCGTGTCCCACCCTTTGCAACCCCATAGACCATGGCACACCAGGCCCCTTGTCCATGGGATTCTCCAGGCAAGAACACAAGTGGGTTGCCATTTCCTTCTCCAAAAGGAACTATAGAAAGAAAGAAAGTGAAGTCGCTCAGTCGTGTCTGACTCTTTGCAACGCCGTGGACTATAGCCTACCAGCCTCCTTCATCCATGGGATTTTCCAGGCAAGAGTACTGGAGTGGGTTGCCATCTCCTTCTCCATATAAGTTTAAATAGTTGAGGATAATTTTTGTTGTGTTGTAAATACTTATATCATAAAAATAACCCAGTAAGATCTAAATATCCACCATTATATACTTAAACATATTTAAACAAGGTCATCATTAGTAGCTAGAAATTTAGCAGTGTATGTTTTTCTGTTGAACTCATATGTCTGTTCAACTTCTCTGCACAATTTTTTTGTAATTCATATATTTTATCCTAATTCATGTATAATATTCTTAGATCTTTTATTGATCATGCTATCATTTCTCTATAATAAGACATGTAACTAAATTTAAATTATCATAATGAAAATTTTTGTCACAATTAAGCTTTCTTTTGCATTAAGTGAATATTTTTCTAGTGTAACATTTTAATTCCCACAATGATTTCTTCACTATTTTTCCTTTTTCCTTTTTTGATTTTTTTGGCCGTTTAAGTGGTTTACTCCAGGACTTACCATGTTGATCTTATCAGTATCTCCTTCACATATCATTAAACTTTTTCGTCTGGATTGTTTTGTTATTAGAGTTATGAGTGCAGTTGATCAAAACAATATAAATATTATATGTTTGAATAAACATAACAACTTTTATTGGAAATATATTTATTGATGTTTTGGGTGTGTTTTCTCCTCTCTTATGCTTTCTTCAGGTATCCATGGATGAATATTCTTGCAACTAGAATTTGATAGGGTTCAGCATAAATTTCTAAACTTTCAAGATAGTCATAAGCTTGAGAAACACTCGTCATTAATAAGTAGATGAGAATTGTAGGGATTTTGCAGTAACAGAATCACTTAGTTCTTTGATCTTTTTTATGGCAATGCCAAAAAATGTGTACAGGTGGGGAAAGGCCAGAAGACTTAATTACTGGTTTTGCCTGAAGATTTTTATATCCTAGGCAGAGCCTAAGGGATGATTCAGGAGGGGGAAAAGATAGGCGTTTTTTGGGCTCAGTGGGAGAGGGGGACTGTACACGGGAATATGGAAAGAGGACCCAAAATGATGCCACTTTATGTCCATTTTAGGAAAGAATGTATTTGGAGATTGCGTGTGTGCTGTGTCTGTCAGTCATGTCCTGCTCTCTGCAACCCCACGGACTGTAGCCCCCCAGGCTCCTCTGTCTGTGGGACTTCCCAGGCAAGAATACTGGAGCGCCTTGCCGTTCCTGCCCCAGGAGACCTTCCCAACCCAGGGCTGGAACCCGAGCCTGCGGCTTGGCGGGTGGAGCCCTTACCGCTGAGCCACCAGGGAAGCGCGTTTGGAGGTTAGGGACCTGGGTACTTACACTTTGAAACCTGCCAGGCCCACGTACTCTCTAGGAGATCTGTAGGGTCACACAGGTACCAGTGTGAAGAGAGCCTGTTAGAGTAGAAACATGAAGTGACGTGCGCCACTCTGAATCTCCGCGTTCAACGTGAGCTTTGTAGATGGAGTTACAACACTGCCCTTATGCAGCATGGCATACAGGAAGCATCTTCATGTAGATTAGTATTTGATAAATATTTGTTGCTTAAATGTAAAAGTATATTGTCTATTAAAAAAACCCATTTAATTATTCTTCTAACTGTATTTATATCCATCTGTCATCCTTCTATTGTAGTTAACCCTTTACTGAAATTGCTCTCAGTGGGATCACCTAAACCCTAACTGTCACTAAATTCAGTGGACATTAAAAAGATCTTTGACTTCTTGTTAGTTTTTGTTGCACTTGATCATTCTTTATGTTTCCACAGCTTTCTGGGACAAGAGTGTCCCTTGATTTTCTTTCTGCTTCTCTTATTGTTATTTTGTTGTTGTTGTTCACTTTGCAAGTTCCTTTTTCTTAACTTATTTCTTAAATGTTGATGTTTATCAGGATTCTGTCCTAGATCTCTGCTCTTTTTACTCTATTAGTTCTGAAAGTCTCCCTCTCCTCACTCCTGTGGCTTCATTTACCTTCTGTGTTTGTAAAGCCCCTCTGTATTACAGGCCCACATGGCTCTCCTGAGCTCTAGACCAGAACACCCACCCGTGTCCTAGACATCTCCAGCTGGGGGTCTGCTCAAATATACTCTCCGGAACCGAACTTCTCACCTCTCCCTCCCCTAACTCAGTACATGGCACCACTGTCAAAGCCGTTGCCCAGGCCAGCAACTTGGGAATTATTTTTCATTCCTTATTTTCTTTACTACTCATTATGCCAGTTATTTCTACTTCCTAATATGTTACAAAAAAATGCATCCACCTCTTGCTTCCCTCATTGTCCCCATCCTTGCCAAACCAATCTCTCTTAGTTTCTCTTGTTTATAACAGTTTCTGCTCGAGTTTTGCTTTCCTCCTATGACTGGCTCACTGAATAGTTCTTTTCTCACCGTGGCGCCCTTGCTTAAAACCTTTCAATGGTTTCACACTGCCCTTGAGACAAATCTCAGACTCTTGAACATTAATTACAAGGGTTTTTGGATCCCGCTCACCCTTCTCTGTGTGGCCTTATCTCTGGCTCATCAGCCTGGCGTGCTGCACTAACACCTAAAGCAGCTTTTTCCCTCTGCCCAGATACTCGTGCATATCTCAGATATGTGTATTTGCACATGCTGACGTCTGCCGCCTTTGAATCCTTCCACATGCTACGGTATCTGTCTGGACCTTTGTGTGCAGTTAACTCCTCAGTCCTCTGGCCTCAGCTTTAAATAGCACTTCCTCAGGTGCCCTGCCTCGCATCTTCAGATTAGTTTCTTTTACATGCTCAAGTAGTCCAGTTTATTTCCTCTGGTACGCAACTCATCACATGCGTCTTTCATAATCTATTTTGTCAGCTTACTTAGGACCAGGAATCATCTGTATCTTGGTCTCTGATTTCTTTATCCTCAGTGCCTGAGACATGTATAAACATATTTGTTGTTCAGTCACTAAGTCATGTCCACCTCTTTGTGATCCCATAGACTGCAGCACGCCAGGCTTCCCTGTCCTTCACTATCTCCCTGAGTTTGCTCAGATTCATGTCCATTGAGTCGGTGATGCCATCCTGCCATCTCATCCTCTGCTATCCCCTTCTCCTTTTGCCCTCAGTCTTTCCCAGCATCAGGGTCTTTTCCAATGAGTCGGCTCTTTGCATTAGGTGGCCAAAGTGCTGGAGCTTCAGCTTCAGCATCAGTCCTTCCAATGCAGATTGAGGGTTGATTTCCTTTAGGATTTACTGATTTGATCACCTTGCTGTCCAAGGGACTGTCAGGAGCCTTCTTCAGTACTCTGCCTCTTACATCCATACGTGACTACTGGAAAAACCATAGCTTTGACCATATGAACCTTTGTCGGCAAAGTGATTTCTCTGCTTTTTAATACGCTGTCTAGGTTTGTTATAGCTTTTCTTCTAAGGAGCAAGTGTCTTTTAGTTTCATGGCTGCAGTCACCATCTGCAGTGATTTTGGAGCCCAAGAAAATAAAATCTGTCACTCTTTGCACTTTTTCGCCATTTATTTGCCATGAAGTGATGGGTCTGGAAGCTTTGATCTTAGTTTTTTGAAAGTGGAGCTTTAAGCCAGCTTTTTCACTCTTCTCTTTCTTCTTTGAGTAAGTTAACAGTTTTGCTTTCTTGTTCTTGTGATTTCAAAATGCACTTGTTTTTTCTCTTTAGTGTCTCAATGAGATCCTGGAGTCAGCAGATGCACCTTTAGAAGTCACGGAAGGATTCATACAGTCAATTTCTCTGTCCGTTCCATGGGGCTCCTTGTTGCAGGACAATTGTGCACTGGAAGTGAGGGGGTTAGAAATGGTCTTCCGACCTCGACCCCGCCTAGGTAGGTGTGTTAGGTGTTTCTGTTCGTTTCTGTTTTTACTTTTCAAAGAGTGGGAAAGTAGCCTAATTGCACTAAGTTGAGTATTTAATTTAGTGCCTTGCATGTATTTGTAAGATTTTCAGTAGATAAAATTTTAGGATGTGGCCCATGTAGGGGGGTGGGTATAATTGTATCTTGAGAGTTATTTCTCTCTCTCTTTACCCACAAGAACTTTAGTATATAGGTGATTGGTTTAGTTATTGGTTACCAGTTATCTAAAGTGACTTATGCTTTTTTAAAAAACATATAGTTGATTTACAGTGTCAGCTGTACAGCATAATGATTCATGTGTGTGTGTGTGTGTGTGTACATGTTCTTTTATATGTATCTATATATTTTTTCAGATTCTTTTCCATTGTAGGTTATTATAAGATACTGAATAAAAAGTGATTTATATTTTCAAAATTCAAAGTATTGTGCCAGAAGCAAGGAAGTGCTCAAAGACTAATGGAGATATGTTAAAAGGACACAAGAGTGGGTCTGAAGGGGTCCCCATTGGCCAACTCTGGAAAATTTGAGTATCAGAAAGGATAATGACAATAATGAATTATAACACACTAAGAGAAAAACCAAAACCCAAAGTCCATGTCACTATAAATAAGTAAATAAGTATGTAAGGGGAGAAAGGAGGAGGATTGCCACTACTGATAAACATATAAAAAGTAAAAGATGGACTATCACCGTGTCTTCAAGCACCATAGTAGAAATTAATGCAGGTGAGGATCATCAGTTGATGCTGACACCATTCAGAAGGGTTGAGGATCTTGATATTTAGACGGTATCAGACTATGTCCTGCCATTTACATATGATTTGCAGAGGGAAAAAATTGCTTCTCAGTGGAGAAAATTGACAGTCACCACCATAACTGAGTGAGCAGACTTGACCTCATCATTAATGGGTCACACTGACGGCACACGTGTTCTGGTGTGATGGACTGAGAAGGCGGGGATCACTTATGTACCGTTCCTGCCAAAAGTGCTTAATCTGAGTCGGACACTGAGGAAGCAGTCAGGCAGATCCAAAACGAGAGAAAGTCTGTTAAACTAGCTGGTTGGTACTGTTTTTTCTTTTTTGTTTTAAAAAGGTTCAGTTATGAAAGACAATGAAGGTAGAGGAACTATTTAGATTAAAGGAGACTAAAGACTTGATAACTAATTGCAGTATGTAACTGTTTTTTCTTTTTTTGTTGTTTTTTTTCCTGTGGAGGGTGTGTTGAGGCAGGTGGGAAGACTGGGCTGTTGAATGTATGGTAGTGATGGTGGTGGCTTAGTATCTTAATCGTGTGCGAGTCTTGCAACACCCTGGACTGTAGCCTGCCAGGCTCCTCTGTCCATGGGATTATTCGGACAAGAAGACTGGAGTGAGTTGCCAGTATTCTTGCCTTCCTCTGGGGGATCTTCCCAACCCAGGGATTGAACCCATGTCTCCTGCGTTGCAGGTGGATTTTTCACTGCTGAGCCACCTCACTAAATGTATATAATATATCGTGTCAATGTCACATCACTTGGGTGTGTTAATGGTATTGAGCTTTTGCAGGAGACTGATCTCATTCTTAGGAGTTACATGCTGCAGTTGTTAGGGATGAGTGTTAAAATACCTAGTTTAGCAAAAGCTTATGTGTGTGAGTGTATGTGTATGAGTGTGTGTGCATGTGTGTGTAATCTTTATGAATCTAGGTGCAGGGTATGCATTGTACACCTTAGGACTGAAAATTTTCAAAAGAAAATTTTGGAAGGGAAAGGTTTAAAGTAGTAGTAAGTCATTGTTTACAAGTATATACATGTAGTAGCTTTAATTACATATATGATGGTTTCTGATTTATCAAACCTATATATTGTGCTTCTTGCATGCCAGTTACTGTTCTGAGTAGTTTACAAGTATTATCCTCACAATAACTCTTTGAAATAGATACTTTTGGAAATTGATGTATAAATTGTCATTTAATAACTTGACCAAGGTCATAGCTAGTTAAGTGGAGAAGACGGGATCTGGACCCCGGGAGTCTAGTTCTAGAGCCCCTGTTCTTAACCACTGTGCTGTGTTGTGTGCTGGATTGTCTACTGAAGAGTCTTTGTGTCTGGCATGTTATAAGCTCGTAAGGTCATGGTGGTGAATCATCTTAAATTATGAATATAAATGCTTCCAGTGACGATGTTTGTAAAGATGTATTTGAAGAGTTATAATCCCAAGTGCTACCTAAAACACCAAAGTTTAAATTATGCTTAGTAAAATTTAGTATCTATATTTTTAAAATTGGTAATCTGTGCATGGAAATTCTTAGTAACCTGGTATTTAATTAGCAAGAATATTTTATATTTTGACCAAGCTGAGGAGACATACTAATACTTTCCTATGGAAAGTGAAATATTTTACCCTAATTTTAAAAATATTTCATTAGAAGGACTTTTAAGTTTTAATTTTAGAAGGCAGTAATTCTAGTAATCTCTTGTCAGTTTGTTTTGGATAACATAAGGAAGTGTGATAGAATTCTTTATTAAGGGTACATCTGGAAAGGACTTTACACAGTTTGTGTGTTCCTTCTCCAAGGATGCTCTTCTGGTTTATCTACATTTATACTGACCTTCTAAGCCCACATCAGCTGCTACCTCTACTTTCCGATGAATTCCCTCAACTAGAAGATTTAGCCTCTTCTCTTTCCTGATAAGATATTTTCTGTTGACACTCGGTTGTTGCCTATTAATTCTTCTTAATTATATCTCATTTCTTTCACTATCTTGTAGTCTCTTTGAGGGCAGATTTAATAATTATTGTATTTTTCTACTCTCTATAGCAGAGTCAGCCAACTGTGGCCTGCAGACCAAATCTGGTCTGTAACCTGTTTTTATGAATAAATTTTTTATTAGACTATCACCTGGTATACATATTCACTCATTCATTAATTCTCTTGGGCTGCTTTTGTACTAGAGTGAGAGTTGAGTAGTTGTGATAGAGACCATATGGCCCCAAAGCCTTAGATATTTGTTATCTGATCCTTTGCAGAAATTTTGTTGACCTCTGCTCTATAGCATTTTGAACAATACCACCCATATAAAATACTCATTAAATACTTGAATGAATATGTGATTTAGTATTTGGCAGATATGTATCATGTAATGAGGGCATGTATCTCAAGTTCTTTCTGTGATTTTTCTTCCCTTCTTGGTTATTATAAGGTGATGTTTAAATCTCAGGATTAAGTTCTAGAATACTGTATCCCTGGGTGATACCATGATGCTAAATATCCCGTGGGGATTAAGAACTTCCTGGTTTGAAATGTGTAATTTTGAGGAATGGCTTAGTTGTAACCGTGAGAAGTCATTTAGGATTTGTCTGTATTTTCTGCAGCATCTGGTTCTGAGCCCATGTATTGGTCTAGCTTCATGACCAGCAGTATGCAATTGGCAAAAGAATGTCTTAGCCAGAAACTAACAGATGAACAAGGAGAAGGATCCCAGCCTTTTGAAGGACTTGAAAAGTTTGCTGAAACCATTGAAACAGGTTTGGCATTGTTGAGTATTTCCAAAAATTTTAGATTGTACTTAGTAATTTAGTACCTTGATTTAGTAAGCATTGTGTAAGAAAAACTCATTGGGGTGTTTTTTTTAAAATTGCTATTCTTCAGAAGTTTAGAATTAAAGTTATTTAAAAAATTATCAGTGTGTAGACTTCCCTGGTAGCACAGTGGATAGAAACCCACCTGCCAGTACAGGGGACATGGGTTCGAGCCCTGGTCTGGAAAGATCCCACGTGCCATGGAACAGCTAGGCTCTTGCACCACAACTGCTGAGCAGGTGTGCGACTGCTGAAGCCCGTGCTCTGCAGTGAAGAGCAGCCCCATCACGCCCCAACCAGAGAGCGCCTGAGCCCAGCACTGAAGACCCAGCACAAGCAAAAACAAACAAATAATTTAAAAAATTACACAGTGTTCAATTTAATTTCATGTTCTTTTTTTACCTTAGTTTCTCCTTTGTTTATTTTATTATGCTTGCATAATGAAGGGATTGGAATTCAACAGATAGTGTCAGTCATTGCCCCAAGCTGAGATGTAACATGGTGTAAGTTCTCAACCCACAAAGTATTTATTAGAAGACTCACAATTTGGGGCTTTTTTTTTTTAAGCTATGAAATTCAACTTTTATTTTCTAAGTTCTTATTAAACTAATTTAGTATGTATTTGGTTTATTCTAGTACTAAGAAGAGTAAAAGTCACTTTTATAGACACTGTCTTGAGAATTGAACATGTGCCAGAAAATTCCAAAACTGGAACTGCACTTGAAATTCGAATAGAAAGGTAAGACTTCTTATATTTGAAAACAAATTACCCCGTTCTTTTCTTTATAAATAATAAGATCTGACTCATTAAATAAGGATACTTTCGGAGATTAGATGTGATTATATTCAGTTAATGTATTACATTATTTCTGAGTAAAGTGCTATTCTTCAAGTTGTATTCCAATCCAGTTATTAAAAACAAAGTACCAGTTGGGGTATAATTACGTATAATACTGTTTGAATATTTGAATTCACAAAGTAAGTAATTCTCTTGTAGCTGATATCAAATCAAAATAATGACTGTTTGAGTGATACTAAATTTAAGGTACCCCATTGAAGTGTTGCAGTTTTTTCTTATGAACAATGTGCTATTTAGATGTGTCTCATTAATGTGAAAGGATTTTTGCATTGCTTTCTTTGATCTATTTGCTGCTTTAGGCTAAAACTACTATTTTCTTGGAGGATTCTCTGAGGGTATTTTAAGGTCAGTATGTACAGTAGAGATTTACTTAAAAAGGTATAAATACATCACTTTTAGTTTTCACCGTATGCCCACCTGGAACTCCTATAAATAGACCTAAACCAGGGATTGATTTACATACACACTGCAGAGTGTTGTTCTGAGGTTATGACTCTTCACCAGTGTCTTAATGCCACATTAACTGCCAGCAGAGATGAGCAGAGTGAAGTATGTACACTGAGCACCAAAGATACTTTGTGGATCTGTTGGGAACCTTTACTGAGTTTTAAACAGATATGTTCTGATTTCTGTCTTTGACAAAACTTACCTATTAGTGAATCAGTTACTGTTAACAGGTCTTTGAACTTAGGTTGCATTACCTTAAAATGGTGTATTTAAAAAATATCTAAAATCTTATGCATTTAGAACAGTATTACTTTGGAAACAGTGACAGATTTTATTTTCTTGGGCTCCAAAATTACTGTGGATGGTGACTGCAGCCCTGAAATTAAAAGACACTTGCTCCTTGGAAGAAAGGCTATGACAAACCGGCTGCTGCTGCTGCTGCTAAGTCGCTTTAGTCGTGTCCGATTCTGTGCGACCCCGTAGACGGCAGCCCACCAGGCTCCCCCGTTCCTGGGATTCTCCAGGCAAGAACACTGGAGTGGGTTGCCATTTCCTTCTCCAATGCATGAAAGTGAAAAGTGAAGGTGAAGACGCTCAGTCGTGTCCGACTATTAGCGGTCCCATGGACTGCAGCCTACAAGGCTCCTCCGTCCGTGGGGTTTTCCAGGCAAGAGTACTGGAGTGGGTTGCCATTGCCTTCTCTGATGACAAACCTAGACAGCATATTAAAAAACAGAGACATCACTTTGCTGACGAAGGTCCATCTAGTCAAAGCTATGGTTTTTCCAGTAGTCATGTACGGATGTGAGAGTTGGATCATAAAGAAGGCTGAGCACTGAAGAATTGATGTTTTCAAGTTGTGGTTATGGAGAAGACTCTTGAGAGTCCCTTGGACAGCATGGAGGTCAAGCCAGTCAATCATAAAGGAGATCAGTCCTGAATATTCTTTGGAAGGACTGATGCTAAAGCTCTAGTACTTTGTCTACCTGATGCAAAGAGCCAACTCATTTAAAAAGACCCTGATGCTGGGAAAGATTGAGGGCAAGTGGAGAAGGGGGTGACAGAGGATGAGATGGATATGGATATGAGTTTGAACTAACTCTAGGAGATGGTGAGAGACAGGGAAGCCTGGCATGCTGCAGGCCACACAGCATGTGGTACACAAAGAATCAGACACTACTTAGCTCCTGAAAACAACAACAGAAGTTTTATTTAAACTGAAGATGAGTGGTAAGGACCCTGAGAATAGTGACAAATTCAAGCAGTGGCACATCAGACTTGAGTTTAGAGTCAAATGCTGTCTCAGTGCTTCAAGAGATGATTGTGAGGGAGCACAGGAATTATTTTCCTTGGAGCTAACTTTAGGAAATTATTCATTTTTTCCTCCAAATTTAGGAGCCTCAAAATATTACTTTCTTGGGGTTAATTTAATGTTCTTCATGAAAATATTTATGAGAGTAAAGCATGATAATGCTGACACATACCCGATAGGTATATTCTAAGAAGAGCTAACACTTGAAAAATTTCTTTAATTTCAGCAGCTGTGTATATTTCTTATACTTGCAAATAGGTCTTCCTAGGAGTTTTATGCAAATGCTGTTTTTGTTTTTAATTTTCAGAACCATGTACTGTGATGAAACTGCTGACGAGTCCTCAGGAATTAACGTACATCAACCCACAGCTTTTGCTCACAAGTTACTTCAGCTCTCTGGGGTCTCTCTCTTCTGGGATGAGTTTTCTGCATCTGCAAAATCCTCCCCAGTGTGTTCAACTGCGCCAGTGGTAAGGAAAACAAATCAGAGAAGCCAGAAAACAAAATCACAGATTTTCAAGTTTACTTGAGGACTATTAAAATTTCCTAGGATGTGTGATATGTACTGATGGGTTTCCTTGTGATCTGAGAGTTAAAACAAATATTCAGAAATGAGGACGTATATTTCAGAGATTTAAAAATACATTTGTAAAAAAAAATACATTTGTAATTAATGCCATTTCTACCAGAAATACATTTGCTGTGTATTAATTTAATAGAGAAACATTGGATTTTATGTCTTAGGGAGAAATGGCATAGTAACATCTAATATCTTTTTTATAATAAAACCAGGCAATTAAGCAATGTTCACATTTACCTTCCATGATGCATGTATTGCTGAAAATGTTATCTTATAAGTCATATCTTGTAAGAATTTTATAATTAAGGAAAAGGAACTATGTTCATCCCTTCTCAGAGTGGAGAGCCCTTTTATAAATGAATCGCTTCATAATTTGTCTTTTACTTTATTTCACAAACTGTATTTTCTTAATTATTGAATGTATGTTAAATTTTCGTATTATGTAATTTGAGCAGATGCTGTGCTTTTTTTCATAAAGTATTTTTCCATAATTTGCCTTTATTAAGGTGCTTTGCTGTGTTTTATGCTAGTCCTACAATACTGGTTTATCCATTGTCACAATACAGTTTTCATGTAAATACTGTATTCTTCTTAAATTAACAATCGTGTTTTGCCTCTCAGTTTACTTACACTAAAGTATTTGAAGGAATTACATTTTTTCTTCTTGTGTTACTGTAGGAAACGGAGCCAAAGCTGTCACCTAGCTGGAATCCAAAAATCGTCTATGAGCCTCACCCACAACTAACAAGGACTTTGCCAGAAGTAGCACCCTCTGACCCAGTGCAGATAGGGGGGCTCAGTGGCAGGCTGGAGTTGAGTCTCACACTGAAACAGAATGACGTACTTCCTGGAGCTAAGGTCAGTATTTGTTCTATTTTCTGTAGATAAAGACAAAGTAAACCTGGAGGCATTCTTTGTGCTGTGACCCTCTGATTGGCTGACATAGATTGTCCTATGACTCAGTTACCCACTGCCTTGGAGTCAGCATTTTTACCCGCAGCTGGTGCCTCTGTCTGCACATCTTGGCGTTCACCTGAGGCCCACCTTTGCCCATCTGCTGTAGCTCAGGGTTTGAAACTGTCTCCTGCGCTCAACTTTCCCCCACTTTCAAAAATGTTCATTTAGTTCAGATAACTAGAGTTTCTTAAAGAATCTCTTTCATCATGAAATTAAAAAGTTAAAAGAGGAGAAATTGAGAAAGCGTGTTAGCTGAAAGTAAAAGTTAGTTGCTCAGTCATATCTGACTCTTTGCAACCCCGTGAACTATAGCTGCCAGGCTCCTCTGTCCATGGAATTCTCCAGGGAAGAAGGGAAAAGTACTGGAGTGGGTTACCATTTCCTTCGCCAGGGTATCTTCCTGACCCAGGGATAGAACTTGAGTCTCCTGCATTGCAGGCAGATTCTTCACCATCTGAGCCAGCAGGGAAGCCCCCATGTTAGCTGAAGGAGATGTTTAATTATGTGTATATACAACTATCCACCTATGTGTATTTTGAACAGAATGTCCATTTTTATAGTTGTATAATACTTATGAAAAGAGATGAGTTTTTTCCATAATGTTGCACAGCTTGTAGAAGTCGCTATAAAGACAACTGTACTTTCTTAGGGAACAATACTGAGCAGTCTGGAGAGTCAGGAAACTTGCATTTATTAGTTAGTTAATTATGTGTCTTTCAGGTTATTGTTTTCAGGTTCTTAAACCTAATTTTCCATATAACACGTGTAAAATGCAGTTTGGGAAAATATCAGGATTTATTCTTGTGTATTTTCATGGCTGTAACTAGCTCTAGACATTTGACTGACTACTGTATGCCAGAACCCGTGCTGGTTGTTAGGACAGACATAGAAATGAAAGGAATGCAATCTTTGTGTTAATAAAAGATAATGTAAGAGACATAGACGTGGCTGTGGGAATGTGTAAGAGGGAACCACTCTATACATGTGAACACACATAAAAAGGTTTTCAGAAGATTGAAGGATCCCCAGAAATCTTTCTCTGGAATGGAGCACCTGATTAGAGTTGGAGGGGGAGGAAGGTGCAGATTGAAATGTTGATGTTCCTATTACTATGATTGTTTTTTTCTTTTTTTTTTTCCTTATCACGTGGTTTGTGGGATTTTAGTTCCCTGACCAAGAGTTGAGCCCCTGTCCACAGCAGGGATTGAGCCCGGGTCCACAGCAGTAAAAGCCCAAATCTTAACCACTGCACCACCGGGGAAATTCCCTGACATTGCTCTTACTGATTATCCCTTCTCCTCTTTGATTACTGTTCTGTTTTACCTCAGTTCAGTTCAGTTCAGTGGCTCAGTCATGTCTGACTCTTTGTGACCCCATGGACTGCAGCATGCCAGGCTTCCCAGTCCATCACCAACTCCTGGAGCTTGTTCAAACTTATGTCCATTGAGTCAGTGATGCCATCCAACTATCTCATCCCTCTGTTGTCCCCTTCTCCCACCTTCAATCTTTCCCAGCATCAGGGTCTTTTCAGAAGACTCAGTTCTTTGCATCAGGTGGCCAAAGTATTGGAGTTTCAGCTTCAGCATTAGTCCTTCCAAAGAATATTCAGGACTGATTTCCTTTAGGATGAACTGGCTGGATCTCCTTGCTGTCCAAGGGACTCTCAAGAGTCTTCTCCAACAATACAGTTCAAAAGCATCAATTCTTCTGTGCTTAACTTTCTTTATAGTCCAACTCTCACATCCATACATGACCACTGGAAAAACCATAGCTTTGACTAGATGGACCTTTGTGGGCAAAGTAATGTCTCTGTTTTTTAATATGCTTTCTAGGTTGGTTATAACTTTTCTTCCAAGGAGCAAGTGTGTTTTAATTTCACGGCTGTTCTGCCTCCGGTGGTGTGAAACCCTTCCACAGGTCGTAAGCCTCTCCACAGAGTAACGGGATGGAGTGGTTAATGGAGCAGAGAGCCGTGGGCGTGTGTGGACACCACAGGGATCCCTACTGTGCCAGGGTCCTTGGGAGACTGAATATATCCATGCCTCTGTAGGATGCATCTTCTAACCCTCTAAGAAGGAAGAATCATAGCTGTACCTTCTGAGTCCTGTTTTGGTTAATTACTGCTACTCCTCAACATTTGTATATTTGATTTTTGTGTATATCCAAACTTTTTGCATGTTATGAACTGATTTATAGAAATGCCTTTTAGGTGTTACTTTTGAACATCTGTGTATTAGGTGACAGATGAACCTCTAGAACTGTTGTGTTGCTGTTAGCCAGGGTTTAATATTTGGAGATACCCTTCTTGTCTATATGGTAATTTTTTGTAGCAACTGAAATATTTGAGTACATTTTGTTCTTACTTAATGAAAATGAGTGCTAAATAGAAAAATTAAAGTTCTGAATAGCAGCGTCCAGAAACAGACCTCCTGAACTTAATACAGCGTAAACAAAGATGGCATTAAATAGGGGCCTCAAGTTTCAGATCTTTAGTCTCTTTCTTTGCACTTAAGTCTTTCAACTATGGGATCAAAATGTTATGAGAGGTTTCATGGTACTTTTTTAGTTCTCTGAGACTATTCACCACTCAAATAGTGTGTAAGTTTGGTGTTTTACATATTTAGTTTTATTAGATGTGTGCAGCTTCAAGAGTACATTATATATGAGAATAGGGGACTGCCTAAGTTAAATTTAGAGACATTTTGTTTCAATTACTATTTTACACTGAGTTTGAAATTTTTGAAGCCTGGTGTGCTGCCGTCCATGGGGTCACAAAGGGTTAGACACAACTGAGTGACTGAACAGCAACAGCAAATGTTAGTTGTTAAAATGTTTTATCTTTTCTGTTTCCAGAGGAAAGGTATATGTACTTTGTTCTTTGTATGCCAAACTCAGAATGACTAATAATGACCTATTTCTATGACAATTAGAAGTGAAACTCTTAGTCATGTATTCTCAATGCAGATTAGAGACTGTGTTTCAATGCTGAGAAATTAAAAGCCAATGTTTAAGTTTAGCATATAATCACAAAGAGATTTCCCCACTGTCCCCAGCCACAGCTCCTTGCTGATTCAAGGACTGGGAAGTCAGCAGTCAGTAAGGAGCCCGGTGAAACCAGCACTCTGTGGGTCAGCCTAGGTTAAAATCCTGGCCTTGGATCTGTTACATGGCCTTGTGTGAATTGCTTAATCTGTGTGGACCTGTTCTCTCATTTGTAAATCAGGAACACCACTAAGAATTAGAGGAAATAAAATAAAAACATCTAACACAGTGCCCCGATACTCAAAAAAAGGTGATAATAATGATTATTACTGGAGGATGTATTGTTTTATGAGTTATACCGTGGAAATTTCTCAGAGTCACTATGTAATTTATTTTTTGTTCTTAGAAATTTGTTTTCCTCCTGTAAAAGATGCCATATCCCAAATATGTGTGTTTTGTTAATTGAATTCTTTTTAAATTGTAAAATGGCATAAAGATCATAGGAGTCAGTGTTAACATTAGGACTAAGAAGAGACGAATGAAAAGTAACAGCAGGCAATGTGATGTAGGGAATAGAGTGATTGCTTTTGTCATAGTGTATGCTACAGAGTAAGAGTGGGGTTGGGCTTTTATTTCTAGAAGGAAAAATGGACAAAGAGTTGGAAAAGAGAAGGGAATTCCACGTGACCATGCTCTCTGCTGTGGCTTCATGCCAGTGGAGAGAAGGTTTTGTGGGCATTTGGAGAGGCACACTGTTGATAGAGAAAGTCCTCGGTGTCCTGGATAGGAGTGTGACCCATGGGCAGACTTAGGAAAGCTACCTTTGTTTGTCCTTGGTTTGAATCAAGCTTTAAAGACTGTGATTTGAGTCTTTTGAAACCATGATGGGAAAGAATACTAGATTGCTGCTATCTCAGTTCTCTTGGAGACTATGTCTTAAGGCCTCCTCAAGCACCTTAAATACTCAGAAAACTCAGAGGCACAGAGTGACATTGGTCTTTCCAACATGGAATTTCTCAGGAGGATTTTCCCTCTTAAAATAAAAGTTGATGACCTTAAATATCTTTTCATTTAGATTGTGTGAATTAGTAGAGAGAATCTGAGGCGAAGAATCCAAACCTAACTAATTAGTATTCCTCTCAGTGCTCTGAGGTATACTGGGATTTATGGTGATGAGTTTATAAAGAGTGTTCATCCTGAGTAGTGTTCTTTCTTTCTTTTTTTGAAGTTGGATATTGATGGGCAGATAGACTCTATACATCTATTCCTGTCACCCAGGCAGGTGCACTTACTTTTGGACATGTTAGCAGCTATTGCTGGACCAGGCAAGTATAACTGTTGTTATTTCTAGTTCTTTAAAAAATTTTAGTTAAAATATATAGCATAGAAATGGGAAATTATATTATTGTGTAGGAATGTATGAACATGAAGATGTATTGTGAATTAGAATCCTCAGTAGTTAAATTTGATTCTTTCAAATTGCATTATGATGGCACAGGTTAGCATTCAGACTGACTGACTTCCTTGGTTGGAGGTAGTACTTCATGCAACTGAGAAAGTCTTAATTGTTAAACTCAGTAAATAGCACACACTTAAAAAAAATTTTAATGACATATATTTTTAATTATAGATAAGATATTGTGATTCCTAGCTAGCTGCTTAGAGCTATTGCCTAGATCTCCAATTAATATTAAATACTGGTGGTTCTGCACTGTGTTACTAAGTTGCCATTGATATTGGATAAGTGGGTTGGGAGAGAATGCTTAATTAAATAACTCCAAATTTAATTACTCTTTTGCTTTTCTTTTGTATACATGTAGAAAATTCAAGCAAAATAGGGTTAGCTAATAAAGATAGAAAAAATCGACCCATGCAGCAAGAAGATGAATATCGAATTCAAATGGAATTGAACCGGTATTATTTGAGGAAAGATTCCCTCTCTGCCGGCGTGTCCTCAGAGCAGAGCTTTTATGAGACAGAAACGGCTCGTACACCTTCTAGCCGGGGTAAGCAACTCAAAATGTTGGCTCTAGATTGATACATTATCATCATAGAGCAAAGTACATTTGACTTTGGCTGCTATAAAATGGAGTTTAATAATGAAAAAACCAATGATCCACACTCTAAGAAGGTTTAAATTTGTAAGTTTATCAAACCGCAGCTTCACAGTGACTGGCACACAAGTGGTGCAGTATCCGCTTTTGATTGTGTAGTCTTGTTTTGTAAAACAGATTTATTCTGAGGAAAGTCAATTAAAAATGTGGGTTTACGCAAAAGATAGAATGGGAATAATTGTTCATTTTGTCAAATTATGTGTTTACGTAATGATTTGCAGTAGATTCCTTTAAACAGAAACCTTTGTCCATTAATCTTTCTGTCAATTACATGTAAATAAACAACAACAACAACATCTTTACCCAGTTTACTTTGCATTTATAGGTGTGTTATAATATGTAAGCACTTGTACAAATCAATTTAAATAATAAGAATCAATTTCAATTTGGAATGTTGAGCTAAGTAAAAAATTAAAATCTTTTCAAGAAATTTTGGCCATAACAAACTTCATTTGCATGAGGGTAAAACAATTTGCAGAAAGAAGTAAAACATAAATAGAATTCTAAATAAAATATTCAACTCTTTTTTTTTTTCAAGAAGTAGCTGTATCCATGAAACCAGAGATTGCAAGATACTATCTGAAAATCATATGACACTTAATGACGTTACATTATACCATGTGAAGCAGCTTATCATATATATTTTTTTTAAGTTCACCAGTGGGCTAGCTTAACGTTTCGTTAGTCTTATGTTCAGTTGAGTTTTTACTATGACATTAATATCTTGAATGCAAAGAAGTGACCCCATTGGAAGTAACATAAAACTTAGAACATCACTATATCTCAGATAATCTGAGGGAACAATGTAACATTAATATATATGAAGATCTTATTTAAAGATGTGAATTGGTGGAATTATAATAAAACTGGCAAAGTTTAATTCTCTCTAGAAGAAGAAGTTTTCTTCTCCATGGCTGATATGGACATGTCACACAGTCTCTCTTCTCTTCCACCCCTTGGGGAACCCCCAAATATGGACCTTGAGTTATCACTGACTAGTACATATACAAACACCCCAGCGGGATCTCCATTAAGTACTACTGTGGTAAAGTATTTAATTTTTTGTTCTGTTCTTTAAAAAGTTACTTCTAAAGTTTTACAGTTTATTCACATGCTTAAAAGAATTATTTTATAGCTTCAGCCAACATGGGGAGACTTCCTTGATCATCATAAAGAACAGCCAGTAAGAGGATCAGCATTACCATCCAACCTAGTTCACCCAGCAACTTTACAAAAGACTGGTACGTAAAAAAAAAAAAAGGACATTTGTTGATAGTTTCCACTGGAATTAAAACAAAATTATTTTAAAAAATATGCCATTCTACTGATTCTTTTCTCTTTCTTCATAAATTTTTTTTTTGGTATAGACCATTTAACAAAGTTTAGAAAGAAAATGAAGCACTGTTGAACTATTCACTATGAAATGTTTTAAAACAGTTGCCTATTTATTGTATTCGTGTATTAAATAATTTAGTAAAACATACACCCTAAGTTTCATATTATTATTACAATAATTTACAATTATTATTACAATTTACATATTGTTATTACAATTACAATTTAGGAGTTCCAATCAACTGGTCTAATTTTTGTTTCTCTGTTTACATCTTCCTTAAAAGAGAACCTCAGGTTTCCTTTCTGCAAAATTTAATTGAAATAGACACAGATTAAAGGAAAATTTGATGAGCAGCTTCTGATTAATTTCTGACTTATTCCAGTACAGTTTTATTAATTCAAAAATTTTGTTTGTACTGTAGCAATTTTTTTTGTACTTCACATATCAAGGATCTTGCATATCAAATGTAGAAAGATTACAGTTTATTATTTTCCTTTTTTAATATCTCTGAAACTGTTGTGTGATCATATGTTTTTGAAGACTCAAATCTCAAGTTTAGTTTTAAAACTAACACATAAGTAAATGTTTTATAGCTTTGATATAATGGATTGTTTAAGTATTAACTTTTCTGAGTATAATTTTAACACATTTATTTCAGCTCTCCCCTCTAGGTCTGTTTCAGTGGATGAATCTAGGCCTGAACTTATTTTTAGAGTAGCTGTGGGAACGTTTTCAATCTCTGTGCTTCACATTGATCCTTTATCTCCACCTGAATCAGCACTGAACGTTAATCCATTGACACCAATGGCGATAGCTTTCTTTACTTGTATAGAAAAGATTGATCCAGCACAATTTTCAACAGAAGATTTTAAGTCTTTCCGAGCAGTATTTGCAGAAGCTTGCTCACATGATCACCTTAGGTAAACTCTTACATTTGTTAATGATCTTGAAAAAGAACCAGACGTGAATTTTTTCATTTATCTGTCTACCTATCTCCATTTGTTTTTCTAATTCACATTTGATTTGTAAATGAGCGGAATGAATGAGGATTTCTTGCAGTACTGCAAGATATTTACCATAGTCTCTCCCATTCAGATTATTTGGCATGTGAAATATACAGATGTAAGATCTATTTGTTTGGAGTTGTCCAAGTTATCTTTAGCTCCCTGTGGTGCTCTTGTCATGTTTCTTTGACCACATTTTGCCATCATCCCCCACTGACACCATTATGATCATAAAAATAGTTCTTATTGTCACTGGCTTAGCAGATGGCAGTGGTGATGAGAGTAGATGGACTAATGAAAAGGGACTCAAAAGTGATTCCTGTGCCACTAACCATTGGGTGGGAAATGATAACTGAGGCTCATTCTGAGCCTGGATGCTACATTTTCAGCTTCTGCTTAAAAAAAAAAAGCTATTCAAACAGCCACCTGTCTTTCCATAGGTTGCGTCCTAATAGATAAGGAGATCACTAAATTTATAAGTAGGTGTAATATTGTTAGCATGCAACTACTATTTATTTTAACTTGAAAGTAGCCTATAAATTATCCTGTCATATATAATAACTTAGGGACATATATTAATATTTTTAGAAAACATTTGGGCTTTTGTTTTATCTTTAAGTATTTTTAAGTGTTAAAATTAATATGCAAGGTAGTTTTTATATCTAGCAAGAGAAACTCTACAGGTTAGGACCATAATATTTATAATAAAACTGCAAAAGTGGTTTTTTTTTTTTCTTCCCATTTTGGACAGTTTCAAATATCTGCCAGTAGGAAATACAATAAAAGCAACAAAAGCTAGAGGTAGGCCTTCATTTGAGTTTTACTGACTAAAGTTTTTAAAATACTGCATGATCCTTCTAGATACTTTTAAGAAACTATATGCATATGTTTTCCAGATTTGAAAAATTTTGTTCACTGCAGTGTAAATTTTAAAATGTAGAAGAGGTAAGGACAGTGTTGGGGAAAAAAATCCTGGATAATTTCCTATCAACTGATATGATTTTTTTTATCTTATATCAGGGAATAGGGAATTTGAAGCAATCTTTCTGGTTAATATCCTTAAAATATTAGTTATTACTAACTATTTGAACTTGGCAGCACAGGTAGGCATTAACAGCTGTACAGTATTCTTTGACACATCATTTAATCTAGAATTATATGGAAACTCTCAAATGCTGCATTTTTTATGACAGATTTATAGGCACTGGCATCAAAGTGTCCTATGAACAAAGACAAAGATCCGCTTCCCGATATTTCAGTACTGATATGTCCATTGGACAAATGGAACTTCTGGAATGCCTGTTTCCAACTGATTTTCATTCTGTTCCTCCTCACTATACAGAGGTAAATGCTGATACTTTCCCTTTAGGGTTATTCTTTACATCTGTCTTGCTTTTTAAGAATTGTGTGAACAGCAGTGATTTTCTTAAAAAGGCATAGGAAGTTGTATTGGCAGAAGTTTATTGTGTGTATTTGCATTTGTGTTTTGTGGAAACAGATTTTTAAGTGTGATATTCAAGGCCACTATTGGAAAATGTGTTACATTTTTAGAGTTGACTTGTTCTAGAGTCAGACAGGTTTATGACAAATGATTTAATTTCACTCATTTTTCAAGCACACTTAATTTTAGAGGAATTCTGTTATTCAACAAATACTATTGAATGCCTACTATGTGCTAAGCACTATGCAAGATAAGTGGACTATCTTGTGCTCATTTATTATTAATCTGATTTTTTCCCCTGTCTTTGAAAGCATGTCTCAGAGAAACTTTTAAAAGCTATCAAAGTAACATTTTTATTGCTTTTACCTTGTCCTGGTGACTTATTTTCAATGTGCTTTATTTGAATACTTACACACATTTTGCAAGTGTGATGCTGAAGATTGTAGAAGCTCACTAGTTTGTGTCAGAGTCACATTGTTAGTAGTGACAGAACTGAAGCTTAAGCCAGCCTTTCCAACTTCAAAAAATTCTCCCCACTATTATCTCCTCTGTTAATTCATCTTAGTATTGCACATTTAAGTTATCTTCCTCTTTGTTTTCAAGCTTTTGATGTTCCATTCCAAAGAACGAACTGATTCTCACCCCCCTGTGTGTCTTCAGCTTCATTATAAGCATTCTGAGAATAAAGGACCTCAGGTAAGAAATCTTTTTGTGTGATTCCCACCGGTAAATTTTCACTTGATGTCTATTGTATCATAATCACAAGGGTTTAATTTTATAGAATTGTCAGTGATCATATTAATTCTTTCTGTTTCTTCTCTCTTTTTTTTTAAGGGTAGTCAAGCAAGACTTAGTTCTATTCCTCAGAAGGCAGAATTACAGGTTAAGTTAAATCCAGTGTTTTGTGAGCTGGATATCAGTATTGTGGACAGGTTAAATTCCTTGCTTCAACCACAGAAACTCACTACAGTGGAGATGATGGCATCGCATATGTATACTTCATATAATAAGCATATTAGTTTGGTAAGTATTTTAAAAGTTGCAAATACTCATCATGATTATAGCTAGCTAATAGACTTATTGAGATGATTTCTCAGTTTAAGTAGTCTTAATAGATTAAATAGCATTTGTTATTAAAATAGCATTATATGTAATAATGAAAAAATGGAAGCATCTTTTATATCTAGGTAGTAGAATAGCTGAATGAGTTGTGATCATGTACTGAATGGGATTTTATGCTGCTGCTTTAAGTGATGGTTACGAAGAGGGTATAGCAACAGGAAGAAGACTCCTAAAGAAATATGAGGTGAAAAAAGTAGAATACACATAAACTTCTATTATAAATGTGTACATAAAATCATATAGAAAAAGACTGAATGGAAGTATATACCCTTCGGTAGCATCAATTACAAAAGAGTAATAGAATTATATTTCTTTTTCTGTGTTTATCTGAGTTTTATAAACTGTGACTATAATATCTTCACAAAACTTCATCTGTTCACGCCTATAGTGAACCACCTGAATCTCCTGTAAAAGGTAGCCATATCATGTAGGACATACTCTTGAAAATGGGAGCATCATTTATCATACTGTGTTATTGAGCATCACATTGTGTCACTTTTACTTAGATCTGGTGCCTGGTGTCTTTTCTAAGCAAAGCAAGTAAGTCAGATTTGCAAAATATCTGTTAGAAATTTTAGGACTATGCACAAATAGAGACAACTTTGGCTAAAAGGGAAAAGATCGTTTTCTATGTATTGTCTCTCCCTTAATTATCAGTGGGTATTCACATTAAATCAAGATTCTTTAACTTTTCTTGCCAAAACTGCTAGTTATTTTAAATTCTGTGGGTCTAGTGTCTGTATTTGCTGTTAGCCATAGATACACTGGAATGATGATTTAATCTCTTGAGCAGTTAAAACATTTTTTAACTTGAAGTTTAATTGCTTTACGTTGTCGTGTTGGTCCCCTCCCTCCTGAACCCCCTCTCACCCCCTCCCACCCCTCCAGGTTGTCATAGAGCACTGGGTGAGCTTCCTGTTATAGAGCAACTTGCCACTAGCTATCTGTTTCACGTGTGGTAATGTGTATGTTTCAGTGCTACTCTCTTGAGCAACTTTTGCTGAGAGTGGGGATTAATAGTTGAAAGTCATAATAGAGGAGAGAAAGAATCAGATCCAAGTCTTAGCATAAAATAAAAGCAGAACTTTCTAACATAGGCTGTCAGAGACTGATCCATGAAATTGAGGAGTGTTATCTACACTGTACTCTGGACTAAAGCTTTACAAGTTGTAATTCATTGCAGAGAAAAAAATATGCATAGACTTTTATCTGAAAGGCATGTTCTTTGACTGTTTTATTATAATGTGGCTTTAAGTCAATGTTGCATACATGTTTTGGCTTCTAAGGGTCATTTGATGGGCTCATATCCTTGGGTTGGATGGAAGCTCAGAATGAGTCATTTAGGGAATATTTATTTCAAACCTTTAATGTGCCAGGCTTGGACTTAGTTCTGGAAATACAAGGATGAATCAGGGATGGGCCTTTGCATTTGGCATAATTCACCTGATTTTACATTGGAGTCTTTGAAGTAGCATAATGGTGGGGAAATCCTTCCGATTGAATGCTGGGTTCTGTAGTGATTTTTAGTCATATTGAGTTTTTTGATAAGCTGATTTACACATTGCCCTTTTTTTAGTCTAGTAAAATATTATATACATCTAAAGCACCTGTGTCTTCACTTCGGTTCAGTTTTTATTTGAATTATTTTCTTTATATGAGGGTGTAACTTTTGCCAGTAGTTCTGACTTTTGTTGGTAGCTGTTGCATTATAAATTTCATTACACTAAAGTAACATAGTAATATTAATTGTGTTTTGATGCATTAGCCTCAATGAGGAAATAGTGATTATACACATCATAGTGTTAACTGCCAGTGCCATCGGTGTTTCTTTGCTGGATTTAACACTGTGGCGTACTCTTGATGTCTCTGTGTTCCAGCACAAAGCTTTCACTGAAGTGTTCCTAGACGACGCGCAGAGCCCTTCGAGCTGCCGGGTGTCGGTGCGGGCTGCCGCGCCAGCGCTGAGCCTTTCTGTCCGCTTCCCTATACCGGACCTCCGGTCGGACCAGGAGCGGGGACCCTGGTTCAAGAAGTCGCTTCAGAAGGAAGCTCTTCATCTAGCGTTCACAGACCTAGAGTTCAAAACTGAGTTCCTAGGAGGAGCAACCCCCGAACAAGTTACATTGGAACTTACATTTAGAGAACTAGTTGGTAAGATTGACCGTGCCTATAAAAGAGTCAGAATAGAAACAGTTGCTACTGAAACTTAAAGTAAGAAGTATATGACAGTCCCCAAATACAATAAAATTAAAGGACATATGTTAGAAAACAAGAGTAACGACTTTTTTCCATTACTGTATACAAATGTGATATAGGTCAGTTTTTTTAAAAGAAACTACAGTGCGTGAGAATTTTTCACTTTGTGAATAACAATGCTTTAGCTTCGTTTTAAAAAAGATTTATTTATTTCTGGCTGTGCTGGGCCTTCATTGCTGCGTGGGCTTTTCTCTAGTTGTGATGGGCAGGGGCTCCTCTCTAACTGTGGTGCTCAGGCTTCTCACTGTGATTGCTTCTCTTGTGTGGAGCAGACTCTAGGTGTGAGAGCTTCAGTAGTTGCGGCACATGGGCTCAGTAGTTAGGTGCCCGGGCTTAGTTGTTCCAATAGCCTACCTTTCAGTACCACCTACCACTTGTTGTAGGGTTAATAGTAGTCAGAATTTTTTGAGTGCCACTCTATATTTGCTGTGTGGTGAACACTGCACACACCTGATCTTGTTTCCTTTAATCATCATAGTTACAGGAGGCTTGTTATTTCCAATTATTTTTATCATATGTGAGGAATCTGCCAGTTTCTTATGAGGTACCTCCCAAAGTCAGTGTAGTAAATGGCAGAGTCAAGACTCAAACCCAAGTCTCATTCTAGAGAGCTTGAACTTTGAACCATCATACTAATAATCTCCAGTGAGTTTTCTTTGTATAGTCTGTTCTAAGTTTTCCCGTATTACTTTGCTTTTGTCAGCTAATGAAGACAATATATGGACTTGGAGTGACCCAAGTTTCTGGAAGATCCTGACATATTCTGTGGTTCCTAAACAGTCTGTCCTCTGTGCCGCAACCCCCATGTCTGCCAGCCCCAGCCTCTCAGCCTCTGCCGTGACATCCTCCTGCCCCCTTAGCCCACTCTGTTCTGCTCACCTCCTTCTCTGTAGGCTGCAGTTTTCCTTCCCTTGTTCTGTCTTAGTTTTACATATCTATAGAGATATTTAAAATTGACTGTTGCCAATTATCATCTCATGAAAAGACCTTTAAGAGGTATCTAGAATCTTCCCTTATCTTTCAGTGATAAGAAACTCATTGTTCTGGTGGAAAGTCATTCTTTGTAAAATGGAATGAAAAAACATATATGAGGTTATTGTGAAGAGGTAATTCTTAAACAGTGCTTGTCAAAATAAACATTTAGAAATGTAGTTATTATCTCTGCATTCCTAGATTAATGGCGTAAACTTTTATGTAGAATGATCGTAAGTGGCACTCAGTAAGTGGCAATTACCATATTTAATATGTTATGATTATGCACCTTAACCATTGGTTAACCATCGGTGCATAAGAATTTGAGTTTGTACAGAATAGAGCATCTTTAATTTATCTATCTCCTCCTGTGTACATGTGCAGCAGAAACAAATGAATAAATGTTGTTGAACTTAATGCTGCACTATGTCCCTGATTTAGAGGATCTGTGCTCATCTAAGGAGGCAACTATCTTTTCTCTTAATATGGAAGAAGAAATACATTTCCATTAATCATTCTTGTTTTATTAGGGTCATTCCAGGAAGATAAAGGAGAACCATCTATTAAGTTTTTCCATGTGGCTAGTGGAGGAGATGGAGATACAACGTCATCAGATGACTTTGACTGGCCGCGGTGAGTAAGCCAGTGTATATGACACATACATTTAATGAGACTTCCCTTTTAAAAATAAATTACTGTAGCTTTTTTGACTGACATTTTGGCTATAAATTTAAGCTAAAAGTATCCAGCCTTGATGAGAGAACCCAGAGGAAAATGGAAAAATTAAAAATATGTAGTGAGTACTACTTTATCAGAGGTGACTGAGATAAAAGTGACAGAGATGGACGTACATAGTATGTTCTCTGGCCTCAGGTTACCTAGCCTAATTAGATGGACAAAAGAATCATTAACCATTCTAAAAAAAGTTCATTTTTATAAAGGGCTTTAGTAGAAGAGAAATTATATAGCACCATTTGGTTAATTTTCAGATGAATTTTGTAGTCAGTGGTTGTTTCAGGAAAGTGTTTTCATATCTGCAGAGCTTTTTCAAAACACTGATTCTTGGTCTCCACCTTGAGATTCTGAGATAGAGCCTGTGTATCAGTATAGTCTAAAAATCATACCAGGTGATATGTTCATAGCAGTACTATTAAAAATAGCCAAGACATGGAAGCAGCCTCAATGTGCATAGACAGGTGAATGGATTAAAATGGATGTGCCACCTGTATACCATCGAGTACTACTCAGTAAAAAAGGATGAAATGATGCCCTTTGCAGCAGCATGGATGGAACTAGAGATTAAGATACTAAGGGGAAGTAAGTCACTTATATGTGGCATCTAAATTATGACACAGATGAACTTATCTAGGATACAGGAATAGACTCAAAGAGAACAGTCTTGTGGTTGTTGAGGGGGAAGGTTTAGGGGAGAAATGGAGTGGGAGTTTGGGATTAGCAGATTCTGTTATGTACAGAATGGATAAATAGCAAGGTCCTACTGTATAGCACAGGGAACTATATTCAATATCCTATGATAAACCATAACGGAAAGAATATACAAAAAGAATGTATGTACATATATAACTGAATCGCTTTGATGCACAGCAGAAATTAACACAACATTGTAAATCAACTATAATTCAGTGGGAAAAAAGTATACCTGGTGATTCAAGCGTGCAGTTGGATTTAGAGAACTACTGCTTCAGGGTTTCTTAGGCAGGATAAATGATTTTTTAAAGTTAAATTAGTCTGCTAGTGGGCTTCCCCAGTGGCTCAGTGGTGAAAAATCCGCCTGCAATGCAGGAGATGCAGGTTTGATCCCTGGGTCGGGAAAATAACCTGGAGAAGGACATGGCAACCCACTACAGTATTCTTGCATGGAGAATCCCATGGACAGAGGAGCCTGGCGGGCTATAGTTTGTGGGGTTAAAGAGTCAGACATGACTGAATTGACTTAGCAGGAATGCAGCAGCAGGAACGATCCTTTATTATACTGAAAACTGAGTATGTGAATAAAGAAAACTGAGTCTGTGAGTAAAAAATCGCGGTGCTCTTGGGACTCCCTTGGCAGTCCAGTGGTTAGGACCTTGCACTTCTACTGCAGGGGATGCAGATCCAGTTCCTGGTTGGGGAACTGATGATGCCACAGCCACACGGTGCAGCCACAAACAAACAAGTGTGACTGTTCCTGTGCCATATCTCTACCTGCCTTCTACACCCCCATCCCCTGTGTATCAGACCTCTCAGACTCCTAGGACAGGCGTGTCAGTGCATGGCTGATAACGAGCAGGAGTTTCCATCATGAATGAATCTACTTCAGTTAGGTAATTTGAAAGCACAGTTCACATTAGGATATCTATAAATCAGGAAGCAGGTGTTTTAATTTATAACTAGTAGCAACTGGCACCACCACCTTAGGAAAAACAAAGGAGCTGTTGTGGGTGCAGCAGAGCGGTTTTACTTGGGAGTGCCGTGCCTCATGGCGCCGGCCGGTGTGGTGGAGAGGAGACCACAGAGCCTGGTGCTGGTGACGCGCTGCAGCGGGTTAGGGAAGGACTGGCGTTACCCTGGGCAGAAGCGCCTGTCTTCAAAAACTGTCAGCTCCTGATATTTGGGGTTTGTAGCTGTAATACAAAACACCCCCAGTAACACTAGCCTTTTATTGCTGAAATTCCCAAAGGGGAAGATTACTCTGTTATTGCAGTTCTAGGAATACTCCCCAACCAACCTCTCCTTTTTCCATTTGAGCAGTTTATATAGCATGAGGTTTCTTAGGAATGCGAGTTTTCCATGACAGCCAAACCACTGGCATGTAGGATTTGGTTTAGTGATAATAAATAGAATTCTAAGGTAAATGTGCTAGTTGTTAATGAAATTTTAAAAAATTTTATTGATATATAGTTGATTTACAATATTGTGTTGATTTTTGGTGTACAGCAAAGTGATTCAGTTATACACACACATTCTTTTTCATATTCTTTTCTATTACAATTTATGATATTGAATGTAGCTGCCCTTGCTATAAGTAGGAGCTTAATGTTTATCTGTTTTATATATAGTAGTGTGTATCTGCTAATCCTAAATTCTTCATTTATCTCTCCCCCACCTCCTTATCCCTTTGGTAAGTGTAGCTTTGTTTGTTAATGAAATTTTGAATATCCCTTTTATTCTCAAAAGATGAGTGTTTCCAGTTATCCAAGTATAAAATGTTTAATGCCTTTCTTTTCTTTGCTTATTTCATCAATTCCACTTTTAAGTTTATAGGAGTGGATTACATTCGGCATAATCAGACTTTATGCCTGTCTTTAATGATTTAATCAGTGGGCTTTGTTTTAGTTGTATACAAGTTAGTTTTGCAGTTTACACTTAGATCTTGCTTTTTAAAATGCTCTTTGCTGTCAGAATTGTACTGAAGGTGAACCCACCAGCCATGCATTCCATTTTGGAGAGAATGGCAGCTGAGGAGGAAGAGGAAAGTGACGGCCACTATCAGGAGGAAGAGGAGGGAGGCGCTCACTCCCTGAAGGATGTCTGTGACCTGAGGAGGCCAGCCCCGTCTCCCTTCTCTTCCCGCAGGGTCATGTTTGAAAATGAACAGGTAAAGTAAAAGTGTGAGCAAGCAGCAAAGGATTTACCCTCTGTCAGGTAGCCATGGTTTTAATGCTTTATCTTTTAAAAAATACTTTGTATACTGTTTTTGCTAGATTTTTAGCTCCAAAATTGAATAATATATGCTTTTTTTTTCCCCCTTGGTTAAAAGTTACATGCTTATTTATTTGATCACATGGGTAGGATAAGCAGATGCTATTACTCTTTCAAATATAAAATGGTTATTTGATGCTTTTTTTTTTTGCACTAAACTGTTATGTTCTAGATGGTGATGCCAGGAGACCCTGTAGAAATGACAGAGTTTCAGAATAAAGCAATCAGCAATTCTCACTATGTGCTGGAACTTACGTTACCCAATATTCATATAACACTACCTAATAAAAGCTTTTATGAGAAGCTTTATAATAGGTGAGTTTAAACATATTTACTTAAATCTTTGGGATTGAACTTTCCTGCCTCACTGCCTGTCTACCACCCTACCTCCGTGTTTTCCCTCTTCTCTCTTTTCTTTTCCTGTTTTAATATTGTCGACTCTTCCAATGCTCTTTGTATGGTGTTGATTATAGAACCATTGCTGTTGTGGTGGGCTATTGTCACAGCGAGTTTCCTAACCAGTGCATCTGGTAACAGGGTTTCTTGTGTGTGACGTATTTATTCCCTCCACCCTAGGTTGTCTGGTTGCCCTCTGTCCCCTTACCATGGAGTACTGAGAGAACGCCTCTGTGTACAGTGATACGACAGCGCACTGAGGCCTGTGCAGGTATCACTGCCATTTTATAGGTGAGGAAACGGAGCTCACGGGGACTAGGTAAACTATCAAAATTCTTCAGGGTCTATGATCTTTCTACTCTAGAAGGCCGTTTATTTCAAAATACTTGCTTGGTATATATGTTTAAGGATATGTAAATATGGTAAATTTAAGTTTTTATACACAAGTTATAAGTTAGAGCTTCTAATTCTCACCAGTCCCTTGGACTGCAAGGAGATCAAACCAGTCAATACTAAAGGAAATCAGTCCTGAATATTCATTGGAAGGACTGATGCTAAAGCTCAAGCTCCAATACTTTGGCCACCTGATGCGAAGAACTGACTCTTTGGAAAAGACTCTGATGCTGGGGAAGATTGAGGGCAGGAGGAGAAGGGGACGACAGAGGATGAGATGGTTGGATGGCATCACCAACTCGATGGACATGGGTTTGAGCAAGTTCCGGGAGTTGGTGATGGACAGGGAAAGCTAGGGTGCTGCAGTCCATGGGGTCACAAAGAGTCGGACACGAATGAGCGATTGAACTGAACTGACAGTGATATGAAAACTGCCAAATAGGATATGAAAAGAGTTGGAAGATACTTGGATAGAGGGCCAAGAGACCCTGGTGTAGAATCAGAGTCCTAGAGTCTTTGTACAAGAAGTGTCCCTCCTCAGAGTTAAAAAAAAAAAAGCACATCTTGTTAGAAACGTAACTTATAACTTGTGTATAAAAACCTAAATTTACCGTATTTAAATACCCTTAAGCATACGTACCAAGCACATATGTTGAAATAAATGGCCTTCTAGAGTAGAAATATCATAGATGAAGATCTTGAACAGTTTACCTAGTTCCCATGAGCTCTGTTTCCTCACCTATAAAATGGCAGTGATACTTGTACAGGCCTCAGAGGGTGGTTTGGAGCATTATATGGTATAACTTTTGGAAAATTCTGAGAACAGTACCTGGCAAAGAGTTACTCAGTAGTCCTCTATTATTGTTGGCATTCCCATCCACTCTGGCATAGCTGAAAGGTGGTCATGTGGGTTTCTAGAAAAAAAGATGTCCTTAGTGTCTGTTATCGTAGCTCCCCACATGTAAACAAGTTATCCAAATTTTTGTTAATCTTCAGAAACTACAGACTATTGTTTCCGCTATAGATTTGCGTGTATGTATACTCAGTCGCTCAGTTGTGTTCAGTTCTTGGTGACCCCGTGGACTGTAGCCCGCCAGGCTCCTCTGTCCGTGGGATTTCCCAGGCAAGAATACTGGAGTGGGTTGCTGTTTCCTCCTCCAGTGAGTCTTCCCAACCCAGGGATCGAACCTGCATCTCCTGTGTCTCCTGCCTTGGCAGGTGGATCCTCTACCATTGTGCCACCAGGGAAGCTGGCTGTAGATTTACTTAGTGCCAAATAGGATTTGGATTTATACATGATCTGAAGTTTGGAAACCACTGATCTCTAGATCACTCTCCTTATTTTATGGCTGACGAATGTTTACTAAACTAACTAATGTGCAAGGCTAAGACTGAGAAAAATGAAACAATTAGTGCAAGGTCCAGCCCAGAGGTCAGAGGCCTTCACCCACTTCTTTCTCCTTCTACATTGATTGAGCAGATTAAATTGGGACATCAGAATTGTAATACACACCTGAAACATTGCATTTACAAATATGTGTTAATTTACCACTTCTTTTTAAAATACAGGCCCAGGCCTTTTTGATTATGAGCCACTGGTTAGAATTTTTTTGCTTGATGTATACCCAAGGTTTTGGCTACAGCTGTCAGTTTCAATTTCTTTAAAGTAGAGTGAAAAATTAGTTTCAAGCCAGTCTGAGTGCAGAATCCTTTCAGGTCTTTAAGGTGGTATCCCCTTCATTCTATATACTTAAAAGTCATCAGTTAATACAGTATTGAATTAAACTGCTTACAATCGCACATAGTTGGTATGAGCGGATCCGGGACCAAACGCAGTGGACCCAAGGTGACCACACAAGCAGCACAGTCTTTGGTGACTAGATGAAGCGTACAGTATAGCTCTGGAAGCCGAAGTTCTTAGGTGGGCTCGGGAGGCGCCCACCAGCTGTAGACAGGTAGCGCATAGGGGACCTGTCAGCCTAACAGGTGGGGTGATAAATTGTGGAACTGGAGATCACCTGTTCATCTGGGGAGCTGGTTAGGTAGGGTTGCTTAAGAGAGCTTCTGTTCTCTCTTGCTCTGCTCTCTTCTTTGTCTCCCAGGCCTTTAGGACTGTATAAATACTGCAGTGTTCCCACTCTCTGAATCATAGAAATCAGGTATCTCAGTTATTCAGAGTATGAATTCTTTGCCCTTTATTTGGCTTTGTATTTTCACTTTTATTTTAAAAAATTTCAGACATTCTCAAACTTTTAGGAATGTTGCAGGTATAGTATAAAGAGCTTTTTTTCCCCTCAACTATTTGAGAGTAAGTTTCTGACTTGCTGTCCCTTCCGCCTTGAGCAGTTGAGTGTGTATTTCTCACAAACAGGGACATTCTTCTACCTAACCATAGTTCAGCAATCAGAATCAGAAAATTAATATTATACACTAACATCTAACTCTCAGACCCCATTAACATTTTGCTAAATGTCTCAGTAATGCCCTTTACTATATATAAAATTTAAAAATATCTTTCTGAGCAGGAATTATAACTAACTCTGCCTTTACTGCATACATTTAAAATAGTGGTTTATTCCTTTAGTCTTGGAGGAGAAAATGGCAACCCTCTCCAGTGTTCTTGCCTGGAAAATCCCATGAGCAGAGGAGCGTGGTGGGCTGCAGTCCGTGAGGCCGTAGAGTCGGACATGACTGAGCGACTGAGCATGCATTCCTTCAGTGCTTTGACTCTTCTTAGATAGTCTTAGATACAGAAAGATTTTTTTTCTCCTATGTCAAAAGTCCTTCAGAATAGAATACAAAAAATTCTCTACCTAGTTTATTAAATCAGATATTTACTGAGCCTTCATCATGTTTCAGACTCATAGCCACAAAACCACAGTGATGTGTCTAAGTATCTTAAATGTTTCTTTTCTTGATTTAAAACATCATCTAACGTATTAATGGTGTCAAGACTGTGTTTAGACCAAAGTGTAAATAAAGGAAAACAGTAAAATCATACGAAACTTAAGTTGGCAGGTCTCATACTACAAACTCTAGGTTTTACTTAAAGTAATAATTTCTCTTTAACCTGTAGCTGTAGGGGATAAGGTAAAGGAGAATTTCCTGAGAAAATTCTTCCTTTTATACTTTCACTATTTCTTCATATAGGAGTTTAGACTAAGACCTGGATTTAGACTCTTGTTTCTTTGTCCTGTGAGTAATGTGCCCAGGAAATAACGAGCCACATGAGTACCAAACCGATGTGGGCATCGCTGTCTGTGTGTCTGAGATGAGACATGCTTCTGCTGAGTGTCTGGTGTTGTTTACCCAGTGATGCTTCCAAGAAGAGACCTTTTGGGTGGGGATTACAGTTTGTGGAGAGTGACAGTACTCAGTCCTGGCTTATACTTTCTAGGGCCTCAGGAGCTCAGGAGTTGGCCCGGAAAGTTCCTAGACCAGTGGCTTCTCACAGGAAGGGGCCAGGGTTGTGTCATCGCTTGTCACCTTGATTGGTATTCACGCTAGGCTTTACGATGAGCCTGTGCTTTTGGCAGTCCTTCCATGAGTCATCTGCTGGTCCTCCCTTCAGACCTTCAGTGCCTGCTGCGTCAGGGCCACCGTGCTCGGCACATGTAAAGATGACTAAGGCACGAGTCCCTCTCTGAGGGGCTACAGTCTAGGGAAGGGAAACAAGAAAATAGGGTATTCTAGGTGCAGTGACTACTGCATTATGCATGTGTAGGGTACTCAATGGGTCTAGGCCTAACAAAAATCTTTGTAGGGGGCATTGTAAAGTCTTGGTTTTCATGACAACGTGGAGGTGAGTGGTGGGGCTGGGGATATCTGAGAAATGACAGATATCTCTTTCAGAAAGTGGGATGTGATCTTAGTCTGGCTGGACATGCATCACCCCAGTAGTTATCAGTATTAACTTGGCTGTTCCGTGAGTTAGAAGGTTTTCCTCTTTTTAGTTCCTGTTCGATATGCTTCTTCATCTCATACCAATTTCCCAGTGAAGCTGTGCTTTCTGTTGTAGAAAGAAAAAGCATATAATTCCTAGAGACCATGAGCAATGGAAAAGAGCTGAACGGGGAGCTGGACATAATCTGGGCTCTGGTCCTGGTTCTCCCACGAATTAGTTTTGTGACCTTGGGCAGGTCACTTAACCTTTATGAGGCAGTTTCTTCACGTGTAAAATGAGAATAATTCTCCCTTGGCTGTCCCATAAGATTGAGGCTGTAGTTTACAGAGTGTTTTCATATATATGAACAGTCTTCCTTTTGTTATTTATGTGTTTTTATTTTTAATAAACCTCCTTTAAATGTGTTCAGATGTATGTAATTTGATCTGTTTTAACACTGGTGAAACTAGGCAGATCGCTAGCTAGGTATGTAATTGTACAGCTTCCTTTCTCACGGCCCTGAAAAGTATATCAATTATTTTTCCATTGAAAGAAATTTCATTTCACCCTTTAGAAAAACTGCTATTCATGTGACTTCTTAAAGGAATATCCTGTGGTTTGCCTTTAGTTGAGGTAGGAGTTATATATTTATTTTTCAACTTTTGTCTTTATAGGATCTTTAATGATTTGCTGCTATGGGAACCAACAGCTCCTTCACCAGTAGAGACATTTGAAAATATTTCGTATGGTATTGGGCTTTCAGTAGCCAGTCAGCTGATTAATACCTTCAGCAAGGATAGTTTTAGTCCATTTAAATCTACAGTTCACTATGGTAATATATTTTAGATTTCTTCTGATTTAGAATGCCTGGTTTACCAGTAAACAAAGTAGTAACCTTTTAAATTGATGGATTTAAAAATGTTTGTTTGGTGTTTCCCATTTATAAGTATATTTTATTATATCTTTTACTGATTTATAGTATTTTCTCACTTCTGTTTATTAATAATGTTATTAATTAAATGTTATAGTGATAGTATATACACTGAAGTTCAGTGGTAGAGAAAAACGTAGAAGGTACATTTTTATCATCATACCTGATTCTTTGTAAAAATAAACAGGTAAAATGAATATTCTTGTGATAATTTTCAAGTTTGAATGCCCTTTTATTTTAATAAGCTGTTAGAACAGCTGTAATTGTGCCGTTTATTTCTCATAGATGAGGAAAGTGGATCTGAGGAGGAGACTTTGCAGTATTTTTCTACTGTTGATCCCAATTATCGTTCTCGTAGGAAAAAAAAACTAGACTCTCAGAACAAGAACTCACAGAGTTTTCTCTCAGTTTTTCTGAGTATTAATCATGGGTTAATGGCAGTGTTTACGGATGTAAAGGTAAGGATTTACAAATCTAAAGTAATTTTTCAAGTGCATCTCATTTTAAAATTACCATAATATACTCAGTCAGTAATTGAGGTAGTTTGAGGTTGTTTCAGTGACTAATGAAAGTCAGTTTTCTGAGGTGGGCCATGATGACAGCAGCTTTGGAAATTTAGCTTTCATGGCAGATCAAAAGATGAACATTATATGAACCTTCTTTTGGAAAGCATGCCAGTTGTCCTCTTGAAGTGGTAACAGTGGTTTACCTGTGTAAAGGAGGATGAAGGTCAGGGGCTCATTTGGCCGAAGAGGCCTGACATAGCATTTTTCACACTGCCGTGTTGGATGGTTCAGGAACCAGACAGCTTTGCCGCAGTGGGGAGGGCCTCCTGGCCTGAATCAAGAAGTAGCATCTCGAGGGTCCGTCTGCTCTTCTGCATGTAACTAATGACGTCTCTGTGCTCTCTGATCTTCTCACTAGCAAGGTGACGGAGATCTGTTGGAAAACAAGCATGGTGAATTCTGGTTAGAATTCAACAGTGGTTCGTTATTTTGTGTGACAAAATATGAAGGTTTTGACGACAAGCACTACGTTTGCCTTCATTGTAGCAGTTTCAGTCTCTACCACAAAGGTAGGACAAGTGTGAAGGAGATGTGTTTTGTTCACTTCTGGTTAGACATGTTTAAATCTTGCTTAATAAAGAAAATTTACTGAGAACAGAAATCGATATTAGAAATTATTTTCCATGGAGTGTTCTATTCCACTGGCAAAGTAATAATTATTGTAAGTTAGAAGTTGGCTTTTATGTTCCTTTTTTTGCAGTGACTTTATTGAGATATAATTCACATTTCATGTAATTCACCCATTGAAAGTACACAGTGGTTTTTAGTATTTCATAGAGTTGTGCAACCATTATCAGAGTCAACTTGAGAACATTTTCATCACCCCGGAAAGAAAGTCCGTAAGCTTCAGCTGTAAACCCCCAAAGTCCTGCAGTCCCCTGTGGCCTTAAGAAGTGTTAGTCACTCAGTCATGTCTGACTCTTTGTGACCCTGTGAACTCTAGCCTTCCAGGCCCGTCTGTCGATGGGATTCTCCAGGCAAGAAATCCCTCTGTCAGTGGGATTCTCCAGCCATTCCCTTCTCCAGGGGATCTTTCCGACTCAGGGATCAAACCTGGGTTGCCTCAATTGCATGCAGATCCGTTACTGTCTGAGCCCCCAGGGGAGCCGGCCTTAAGAAACCACTGATTTTTTCTCAGTCTCTGTGGATTTGCATATTCTGGCTGTTTCATGTAAATGGAATCCCACAATAGAAGATTTTTTGTGATTGGCTTCTTGGCATGATGTTTTCAAGGTTAATCCAAATGTACCAGTGTTTCATTCCTTTTTACTGCCAAGGAATAGCCCATTTTATATACACGGATCATTTGATTATTTTCTCTCAAGTGGTATTTCCTTTTGGTAGTACATACAGAATATACTGTTCTTTCAGCACATTCCTTGTGTTACTTCATGAATAGAAGTGGGATACTTGGACATTCTTAATGTTTATCAGATTTCCCTATTTAAATGTAACTTCCTTGACATTTCAAATCTCAATTTTTTGTTTTTAAACTTGAATAGTCACTTATTCCAACATTAGTAGAGAAGAATGAATTATTAATGCCAAGCTAGTTCTTGGTCATTTTGCCTCCAGGGTTATGTTATGTTCAGTGGAGGAACATGGATTTTTGTTTGGGTTACAGAAGTTCGTGAGTTAATTTCATGTAATCATTCTGTTATATTGTCCTCTCATTGTGGATATAGGCATAGTGGATGGAGCAGTTCCTTCTACAGAAACACGACTGCCTAGTTCAACCCGCCCACATTGGTTAGAACCTACTATTTATTCCTCTGAAGAAGATGGCCTCAGTCGAGCTTCTTCAGATGGTGTTGGAGGAGACACTTTGAATATGCTGTCTGTTGCAGTTAAAATACTGTCGGATAAATCAGAGTCCAATACAAAGGTGTGTATTTTATACTTGTATACCATTAAATACTTGTTCCTGATTTGATTCAGTTCAGTTCAGTTGCTCAGTTGTGTCCGACTCTTTGAGACCCTATGGACTACAGCATGCCAGGCTTCCCTGTCCATCACCAATTTCCAGAGCTTGCTCAAACTCATGTCCTTCAAGTCAGTGATGCCATCCAACCATCTCATCCTCTGTCGTCCCCTTCTCCTGCCCTCAATATTTCCCAGCATCAGGGTCTTTTCCAGTGAGTCAGTTCTTCGCATCAGGTGGTCAGAGTATTGGAGCCTCAGCTTCAGGACTGATTTCCTTTAGGATTGACTGGTTTAATCTCCTTGCAGTCCAAGGGACTCTCAAGAGTCTTCTCGTAACACCTCAGTTCAAAAGCATCAATTCTTCAGCTCTTAGCTGATTCGATTACTAGCTAATAAAAATGATTGCATAAATACAAGATATTTGTTTTCTTAGAAAAACTTTTCAAGTTTTGAACTAGAAGGTCATGTAGGTGATAAACATACCTTTTTGTATTGTTTTGTGTAGGAGTTTCTCATTGCTGTAGGGCTAAAAGGAGCTACTCTCCAGCATAGAATGCTTCCTTCTGGGCTTAGCTGGCATGAGCAGGTAAGAGAGCTGGGATGTGTGTGTTGATTTATTTTTTACTCTGTTAGTATGTACTGCACATACTGAAGAGTTCACAAATCATAAATGTTCAGTGCTCATTGAATTTTCATGAAGTAAATACTCCTGTATAAACATTGCCTCTTATGTTAGAAAATAGGACATTATCACCACCCCAGAATGTAATTGATTTTTTACCTTAATGTTTGGTTCTTAAACATCTCAAAGACAGAGTTATCTTCTGTCATTAAAGGGAAGGGACCCATACAGTGCCTGTCATAGAGGAAAATAAATGATGTTGACTTGCACTTATAACTGTGTATTCTTTTTCTTTTTTTTAATAACCATATATTCAAGTACTGTAGTTTCAGAATTATTCCCTAGGCCAACAGCATACATTGAGGCATTTATAAGGATTTATGTAATAAATTTCCAATGTAATAACTGTATTTGGTTAATTATATTTTTTCAGAGGAAACTTTGGGTAAAGTTCACTCTTCTTTACGTGAGAATAAAAACTGTACTCTATATAATTCTTATTCATTTTTCTTAGAAAGAGAAACCTTTTCTTTGCTCTTGGAAAATAAGTTGTTTTAAACTTAAATGCTTTCAGAAACATCCTGAAACATAAAGTGTATATAGAGAAGGGGTAGAGAGATGGTTAGTCTGCTGGCTGTCGGTAGGAGAGAGATTCAGCCTAACCTTTTTATTTAGATAGAAATATAGGAGGGTAAATGGTGGTAAGAGGACTAGTTTTCAGACTGAGCTGGGTATAAATAAAAGGGAAAGGAACTTCTCCCAACAATGGGTTTATAGAAAACCAGAAGGAGAGTTTTAAACAGACTTTAGGAAAATTTATTTTTGTTTTGTTTTCAAAAAAAATTATTCCAAGCAAAATTATGTTGATGGTAGATTATACATGCTTTTGTTAGTTTCACAGGAGATGATTTTTCCGAGATCGTTGTAGCAGTGTGATTGTTAGATCATCTCTTCATTTCAAATTCTAGTTTTGAAAATACTTTTTGAAGTAAATTCCTTCAAATGATGATTTTTTTTCTTTTAACATTATGATTTTTCACTAAACGGTTGATTTTTTTAATAAGCTATTTTATTTCATGTTGATATTAAGGATATCATATCAAAACTCTTTTTTTCTTCTAAAGCAGGGCATTTTATATTTTTGTGATTATAGATTTTATACTTCTTGAATATTGCTGATGAACCTGTTCTGGGATACAATCCTCCAACTTCATTTACAACCTTTCATGTTCATCTCTGGAGCTGTGCACTTGATTATAGGTGAGTTCATAAGTGGAGCAAAGTAAAGTTTTAAACTTTAAGATATGTACTAAGTTTTGAAAAAAATATTCAGTAGAGTTACGGTTCAAAATGCTCTTTAAAGGAGGTCTCTTTTGCTGTGACAGACTGATGTTCTCTTGTTTCTGTGTCATATTAGGCCTCTTTATTTGCCAATCCGATCTCTTCTTACTGTTGAAACATTCAGCGTTTCAAGTAGTGTCGCCTTGGATAAATCATCGTCTACTCTCAGGTACCATGTAAACCTCACTGTTTACTGAAGGCAGCTGTTCAAAACATACTAGCAGAGATTTGAACCCTTTAATTAAAGTCTCAATTGTTTGTTAAAAGCAACATTCTTTTACTATTAGTCATGTTCCTTTATCTAAGTTTTCCATTTTTCTTTCTCAGGTGATTCGTCCCATCTCTTCAGTTTATTACTGTATTTCATTTTTTAGGGTGAAAATTAACTCTTGAGATTGTTAGTTTACTTTTTATCACATTTATATATGAACTTCCTATAATACTTGATGCACTTTATTTTCCTAATTTAAACTTTGTGATTTGGGCATCTATTAAAACTACTAAAAATTTAGAATTTGAGCAGATGTTTAATCTCAGTCACACCATTTAAATATTTGTTAGTCATAACCAGTGAGTTTTAAAGAAGAATGTCCGATGACATTTGTAAGTTAGAACCTTCACATGACTGATAGCATTTCTGTGATACAGAGTGGCACAGCTCAGTGATCATGCAGCAGATATTCAGGTTAGTCTTTCAGGTCTTGATTTAATCTTTTTTTCCCCCCAGAATAATTTTGGATGAAGCTGCTTTACACCTGTCTGACAAGTGTAATACTGTTACTATAAATTTGAATAGAGGTAAGAGTTAAAAAAAACAGTATCTAGGATAGATAAATGTACTTTTATTTTTTGTATCTCAATATTTTTTAAATATTTTAACTCTGAAATAATGCCATGAAATTAAAAGACACTCCTTGGAAGAAAAGTTATGGCCAACCTAGACAGCATATTAAAAAGCAGGGACATTACTTTGCTAACAAAGGTCCATCTAGTCAAGGCTATGGTTTTCCCAGTAGTCATGTATGGATGTGAGAGTTGGACTATAAAGAAAGCTGAGTGCCAAAAAATTGATGCTTTTGAACTGTGGTGTTGGAGAAGACTCTTGAGAGTCCCTTGGACTCCAGGGAGATCCAGCTAGTCCATCCTAAAGGAAATCAGCCCTAAATGTTCATTGGAAGAACTGATGCTGAAGCTGAAGCTCCAATACTTTGGCCACCTGATGCAAAGAGCTGATTCATTTGAAAAGACCCTGATGCTGGGAAAGATTGAAGATGGGAGGAGAAGGGGACGACAGGATGAGATGGTTGGATGGCATCACTGACTCAATGGACATTAGTTTGAGTAAACTCCGGGAGTTGGTGATGGACAGGGAGGCCTGGAGTGCTGCAGTCCATGGGGTCTCAAAGAGTCGGACACGACTGGGTGACTGAACTGAAGGGTCTTATCGGTTTGAATGTTGTAATACCAGTTGGTAATATCAATAACATTGATGAAATGCATCAAATTATGTATACTTAATTAATATAAGGCAAATTTTGTTTCTAACTGAAAATAAAGATAACTGTAGGATTTTTGTAGGTTGAAGCTCTATTTCCATTATAAATATTTGTAGTACTGCCTGCCACGAATTTTAAAGAAATGCTAGTTTTATTAGGTGTTTGTTGGATAAGCATTTTTTAAAAGTTATACTCAGATATTTTATTAATTAAAAATTTTTAGATTATGTTCGTGTGATGGATATGGGACTTTTGGAATTAACCATAACTGCAGTGAAGTCTGATTCCGATGGAGAGCAAGTAAGTTATTAAAATAAATGGATATTTTTACTTGAGTATTTTTATTTTATAGAAAAGGCCAAAAATATACTGAACTTTTTCCCACTTGCCTAATTTTGGTCAGAAATAGATAAAATATTTTAAAATTAAGATTGAGTTATTGTAAACACATATTTCCTGTGGCAAAACAAATTATAATGTTTTATTTAATGTAAACCTATGCAAAAATGTTTTCTTTGTTTGTTTTGGTAAACGTTCCTATCCTTTTTTCCCTCTGTCCTGTCCAGACTGAACCGCACTTTGAATTGCACTGTTCTAGTGACGTTGTCCATATTAGAACGTGCTCAGACTCTTGTGCTGCCCTAATGAATCTAATTCAATACATTGCAAGCTATGGGGACTTACATGCCACCAACAAGGCAGACGTGAAACCAGGAGCTCCTCAAAGAATGGTGAAGGTACAGCCACCAACCTTATTCTTTAGAAGTCACTCACCCCCGCCGCATTCCATCCAGATGAGTGGCATGGGGACATTAGCGAGGTCTTCTTGGCAGTTGTAGGGTGAAAAGGAAACTGAAAAATCATCTGTCTGTTCCTTAGTTTCAAGGCGATGGGGCCTAGAAAGGTGATTCCATGGGCCTTTTGGGAAAACAGTTCTGCTGTTTGATGCTCTTGATTTCAGAACATTCATCTTCTCAACCAGCATATGTTTTCCCAGACTTAAGTTATTTTTGTATGTCCTCAGGAAAGAAAGAAAACATTTCTCATCATGTGAGAGCCTGTTATATGCAAGTTGTATGTAAAAATGCTATGAGAAGGTAAACGGAAGGAATTAGTAGTATTACCAGAAGACTCATTTACATGATATTATCTTTCATATTTGAAAGGATCCAATTTTGAGTATACTTTCTCAATGTGATTTCCTCTTACCCACCACAGTCAACAGGTTAAAGGTTATTATCTCTATTTTGTAGTTGAATATGTTAAGACCCAGAGAATTTAGGGAATTTACCCTAATTAAGAGCAGATATGACCACAATATGCAGATATTTCGATTCCCAGTTCAGTGCTTTCCTGTGCCCCCAGCTGTCACTTCTCTGCCCTCTTATGTCCAGATCGAACAGTGTCCAGTTTGTTTGGCGTTTTCTGCTTTTCAGTGTCTTCATTCTTCTAGATGGCCTCTTCTGTGAACAGAAGAAGCCTTCTTCTCAACCTCCTTAGGTCAAATAGATCTCCACTAACAATCTGACAGGCCTCTCATTATCTTTCGTTCAGGCTGATCTTACTCCTCATTTAGGTTACACTTCTGTTTTTGTTTCCTTGTTCCTGCTATTGTCTCGTTGATAATAAAGTGATTTATGACATACTCTCTTTACTGGTTCTTCTCTCTTTAAAAACAATTTCCAGTTTTGTTGTTGTTCAGTTGCCCATTTATGTCTGACTCTTTGCAGCCTTATGAACTGTAGCACGCCAGGCTTCCCTTCACTATCTCCTGGAGTTTGCTCAAACTCATATCCGTTGATTCGGTGATGCCATCCAACCATCTCATCCTCTATTGTCCCTTTCTCCTCCTGCCTTCAATCTTTCCCAGCATCAGGATCTTTTCCAGTGAGTCAGTTCTTCGCTTCAGGTGGCCAGAGTATTGGAGCTTCAGCTTCAGCATCAGTCCTTCCAGTGAATATTCAGGGTTGATTCCCTTGAAAATTGACTGGATTGATATCTTTGCTGTCCAAGGGATTCTCAAGAGTTCTTCAGCCCCACAGTTCAAAAGCATCAATTCTGTGATGCTCACCTTTCTTTATGGTTCAGCTGTCACACCCACACATCACTACTAGAAAAACCATAGGTTTGACTCTATGGACCTTTGTCAGCAAAATTACGTCTTTTGTTTTTTAATATGTTGTCTAGGTTTTTCATAGCTTTTCTTCCAAGGAGGAAGCATCTTTTAATTTCATGGCTGCAGTCATTATCTGCAGTGATTTGGAACCCAAGAAAATAAAGTCTGTCACTGTTTCCAGTGTTTCTCCACCTATTTGCCATGAAGCGATGGGACTGGATGCCCTGATCTTCATATTTTGAATGTTGAGTTTTAAGTCAGCTTTTTCACTCTTCTTTTTCACCTTCATCAAGTTGTCTTTAGTTCCTCTTTGCTTTCTGCCATAAGGGTGGTATCATCTGCATTACTGAGGTTTTTGATATTTCTCCCTGCAATCTTGATTCCAGCTAGTGCTTCATCCAGCCCAGCATTTCACATGATGTACACTGCATAGAAGTTAATCTACAGTTTATTAGAAATTATTTTAAATTATCCCTTCCAAATGGAATCTTTCCATTTTAGAGTCATGCTGACATTTTAAATGCATGATTTGGATTTAATGAATCCATAGTTCATTAACATAAATTGCTAAGCATTGGTGCTGGAATTGAACCCCGTGAACCACCATGTAGTAGAACTCCCCTCTCATATATTCCCCCTACTGTCTTCAGATAGACGTTTGTTCCAGGAAGTGAGACTTGGCCCTGCAGTGGCTTTGCCTCAGAGGTGAAGGTCATGGCAGCAGTCAAGTTTGAGCAGATCAGACTCTCCAGAGAGACCCCTTCTCCCCCAGCTTCAGTGCAGTGTTTTTCACCTTTCTTCTCTTCTACTCTATTACCTTTTCAAGATTCAGTTAAACTGTGCTGGCATTGAGATGATAACACACTTACTTCTATTTGCCGGCAGTCGTTGGGGTGAAAACGATGATACTAAAGACTTAAAAATGTAACAGCTGCTGAGTAGAATATAGAAAAATGAATATGTCCCTGTTTCTGATGTTTGTGTAAAATGTGGTCTATTTCCAGGACAAAATAAGTGTTAAGTAGTGTGCTGTTTAGAGCATTTCCAATTGTTTCTAATTAGGGTTTTTGGCTATAGGTAGATTCTGTTGGTCGGTCATCCTCACGTGGTCCAGTACTTCCTGAAGCAGATCAGCAGATATTACGAGATCTGATGAGTGATGCTATGGAGGAGATTGACGTGCAAGAAGCAGCTTCATCTGTAAAACCACAGTCTAATGGTGAGACAGAGCCAGGACTTTTTCCCTGAGAGCTGCAATGTTGTAGTTGAGGCTGACATTATTTGCATTCTTACAGATTCCTCAATAAGTAACTCAAAAGACAAGTCTGAGTTTTGGTGGGTATTTATTAGTCAGTTTGTGTTTATTGAGTGTCTAGATAATACTGGCTAGAGGCTTTCCTGGTGGCTTAGCAGTAAGGAATCTGCCGGCCAGTGCAGGAGATGTGGGTTTGTTGCCTGGGTGGGGAAGATCCCCTGGAGAAGGAAATGGCAACTCACGGCCAGTATTCTTGCCTGGAAAATCCCATGGACAGAGGAGCCTGGTGGGCTACAGTCCATGGGGTCACAGAGTCGGACACGACTGAGCAACTAAACAACAACGACAGATTTTTATAGGGGAGACGGATAAATTGCAAGATAAAGCTTATGTTTTCTGGTAGCTTATAGTTTAGTAAAACGAAGTGGCGCTAAACCAGACTGATGCTAGTACTTAGAATGATTGAGAAATGATAGAAGAAAATACTTCAGAAGGTAGTGTATACTCTATAATCAGTTTGGAAAAAATTTGGAATCCTCTCTTTAGACTGGTGAAAGTGAGATGAGTTGGCTTTTAAAAAGTAGATAGGACTTAGGTGTGTAGCAGGAGAGAGAAGATATTTTGGCAAGATTGTTAATGCCAACAGAATCACAGATAGGCATGTGTGAGCCTTAATGATCTAGTAACTCAGGCTATTAATACTATAGCAAAAGTTCCCTTCTTATTGGAAAGAATTAGATAATAACATTAGATAATTGGGAGGTGCCAGACGGAGAACTCTGAAAGCCAAGTGGAAGTGTCTAAATATTTTTGAAGTATTTATATAGAAAACATTTTTTTCTAATTAGATGAACATTCTTACTTCTACATGTTGTGAAGTCTTAATTTTAAAAAATTGTTTCATAATGTGATAAAAGTCTCTCATTCAATGTTGCTTTCATTCTAATTTAGAATAAATCAGAGCTAAGGAAGCAAATGGGAATTTTTAGCTCCTTAAGTACTAGGCATTATTTGTAATAAATGTTTGCAGCTAACCTCCTTACGCTGGAAAGAACATTTAATGAATATTTATTGAGCAGCTTCATTATCCAAGATTCTATACTGTGTGCTGGGCACTTATAAGAGTGAATGGGTTCAATATGCTGCCACAGAAGAATTTAAAGTCTAGTTTGTGAGCCTTGTGAGGCTAAGACGTTACCATAATCATCTTAGTGTCTTTAGTCCATATCACAGGATTTGGTTTGAATGAATGAATGGGGAAAGAATTAGTAAGTCTAATATGTGATATAAATGTATAAAAATAAGTGTTCACATACAGATTTATTTTTTTAATTGTGTTTTTTGAACGCACCTCTGCAGCATGTGGGATCCTAGTTCCCCAACCTGTGCCCCCTGCAGTGGAAACAGTCTTAACCACTGGACCACCAGGAAATTTCCTACATACAGATTTTTGCACACTTGCAACTTTTTGTCTTTATATTGAGACAGCTAATCTGTGTCCTGTTAGTATATCCAGTGCCCCAACGAGTCTTTTTATTGCTCAGAATCATTCCCTGGCTGAAGACATGCTTAGGAACTGTTCCAACCACCCCACCCCTGGACTCCAGGTAGAGGTTTCCCGTAGTTGTAGGTGAGGCCCTACCAGGTGCAACTATTTCCCTTCCCCTTGCTATATTGTCCAAGGAGTTTCTTCCAGAACGTCACCTACAGGACATAATTCAGTACGAAATTCTGGCCAAAGTGGAACTGCAGTCAACACTCACTACCTGCTGCCGAATTCCTGACCTTCTCTGACACTGAATAACTTTGAGGAGATGTCTATAACTTTGAGTCCATCGCTTGCTGTTTTCTTAGGAAACTTCAAATTTGCTATTAGTCTTTTTATTAGTAGTCAGAAGATTATTGTAAGAAATAAATGAGATACTGTGGGTGAGAGCTCTAACATAATGCATAACTGACACATGACTGAAGTATTTAATAAATGTTGTTATTATTGATGTTCCAAAATGTGCCCAAATTGACTGTTGTAATCTCTTCCCCTAGGTGTTTCTGATGAAAAATCTCAAGTTCAGGAACCGTGTTGTTCAGACCTCTTCCTGTTTCCTGATGAGAGTGGAAACGTGTCCCAGGAGCCTGGTCCCACTTACACCTCATTTACCCACCACTTGATTAGTGATCCAGTGACAGGCGTGCCCACGGAAAATGACGACTTTTGCATTCTTTTTGCACCAAGAGCAACCATTCAGGTAGTAAATTGATAACAAAACTAAAGTCTTGAAATAATGTTACAAATAGAATTGACCAAAGGACACCTGAAAAAAATTCTTTAGATTTTGTTAACTCTTCACAATTCAGAATTACTTCCTTTTGTAGTTTACTATTGATGCTTTGTAAATGTTTGTTACACTTTACCCTGTTTATGACACATCTGAGAGGGACTTGGAAGAATGCTATTTGTTAAATCTCCTGCATGGTTTATTGAACTACAGAGGAAGTATGTAGTTTGTACCCTGAAGTACCTCTTCAGGGTACTGAAATTAAATGGCAGAAAAGAGTTCTATACAGAGGTGTTAAAACAAGAATTGGGAAAGATAAGACGTGGTTTGTGTGAAGGCTGATGGTTGACTAATATATGTAATTTCCACTTTATTGTCATGCTCACATTTAAAAAGCATGGTCTGGATTTAATGAATCCACAGTTCACTAGGCAAAATGGTTAAGCATTGAATCTATATCTTTTTATTATCAAACAAGTAGTAAAAGCCAAATTGTAGACTATAAAAAATTCTTAGGAATGATTCACATAGAAGAGAGAATTCGTTTTGTAGTGAATGAAACAGAGTGTATTATGTGACAATTATTGTCAGTATTTATTGTCCACTTTATATAAGGAAATTACTCAAAAGAATGCAGAATCAAGAAGTTCCCTTGAAATGTGAATGGTACTCAATGGTTTCTACTTAGATAAGAGAGTATATGTTAACTGTTCCTTTGTCTTAGGAGAAGGAAGAAGAACCAGTTGTAAAAATAATGGTTGATGATGCAATTGTGATAAGAGAGAATTATTTTAGTCTGCCTGTTAAGAAGACAGATACAAGCAAAGCCCCGTTACACTTTCCCGTTCCTGTCGTTCGGTACCTGGTTAAAGAAGTCTCTCTTGTTTGGCATCTTTATGGAGGAAAAGATTTTGGAACAGCCCCTCCTACTTCTCCAGCTAAAAGTTATATGTAAGTTAATTTCTACATACATCTATTTGGCAGGCCAATATATCCTTTTCATTAAAAATACATAGGATTTACTCTTTTAAGAATTATTAATAAGTATGACCCAGACCCTGTCTGTGTTCAAAAGGGAGAAGCTGTCACATGAGCAAATGAGGGCAGTGAAGTGAAGGGTATGTCAGGAGTTAGGGACCTCGTGTGCCCCTGGTTCTCCAGTGTCAAGCACCCGGCAGGGTACCAAGCACAGAGTCGATGCCTCTGAAGTGCCTGTTAAGTGAGTGCATTATCCTTTAGTTCTGAAAGGGAGCTAGACAGAGAGACTAGGTAGAGACTGGGGGCAAGCGTTCTCATTGGGGTGGGGAGGGTCAGAAAAAGCTTCATGTAGCAGGAACCTCGGACACAACATCGTGAGGACTTTTTCTATTTAAAAGTGCTTTTTAAAAAATTTGACACTTTACTGTAATTCTTTTCTGTATTAATTGGAATTTCTCGGACTTGTCTTCTGATTCTCAGGGGTTTCTGAAGTAATAGGAATTTATAAGGAGGTCTCATTTCTAAGTCTGTCTTGTGATACGCACACCAACATCATAGTTAGGTTTTTCTGTAGTTTTAAATATTTAGCAAGTATATGATTGCTGTGATGACAGTAATAAAATTTATGCTCTCAGTGCCTCCAAGGTATAGAAGATGTAGTTTTAATGTATAGCAGTACAGTTTGTGGCAGTGTTCTGATAGGTCTGTGATCTTGTTTTCTCTTTTCATCTTGTTGTTTTTCCTGATGACGTTTGTTGCCTTCCTTAGACTATTCCTTTAATAAAAGGTTTCATTTTTTTCATTTATAGTAGTCCCCATAGCTCACCTTCTCACACACCTACAAGACATGGACATAATATGGTCTGTGGGGGAAAAGGAAGAAACCATGACTTTTTAATGGAAATACAGTTAAGCAAGGTAAGATGGCATTTTAAAAGGAAAAATCCACTGAAGTAGGAGCATTAGTGAGGGTTCTTTGGTCCTATCCTGCTCCCTTCTCTGTGTGGTCTTGGGGCCTAAGTGGAAAAATGCAGGGATCTTGTGTAAATCTTAACCCTTACTCTTTTTCAAATATTCTGAAAAGATTTAGAGTTTTTGTTTTTTCAGGCTACTCCCAAATCAGTGTCTCTCAGAGTTGAACAAGTGCCAGAATCCCCTTGAGGACTTAGTAAAACACAAGTTGCTGGTCCAGAGTTTCTAGTTCAATAGGGCTGCAGTAGGGTCCATGAATTTGCATTTTTAATAAGTTCTCAGGTGATTCTGATACTACTTTACCCAGGACCACACGCTTGGGGACCCACCGCCCTGGAGTATTTCTGGGGAAGCCTGCCATGGAATAAGCACACAGGTCAGGTCCTGTGTGAACATCTAGAGACCAGTAGGGCCAGGCTGCCAGTGACCTTGATGCATTTAATTCTGTCAGCTTGTCTGGGTTTCTGACAGGTGTCATATGTTAGGGTGCTTAACATGGTAGTGGTGGCAGCTCCATATACTTAATTGCATCCTTGCCCCCTTTTGGAACTTGAACCTTGCCTCCAAGCAGTTTCATAGGGAAACAAGATAAAAATTTTATGACTTAATCCTATTGAAGGTTTTGCTTGAAAAGGATGGGGATTTTACCAAGGTCAGATAAGAAATATCAGTCAGGCTTATCCTTGTATGGTCCAGTACATGTGGATTAATAGTAAATATGTGAACAAATGTAGGAGTGTTACACTGTTCTCTGAAAGCAGGATCAAAAGCCTAGAATTTAATGAAAATGTGTGCTATTTTACATCTTAAAGAGAAAATCTGTTTTAAATAGAGTGTAGAGGTTGTTCTGTATTCTTTCCGTCTGTGAAGGTGAAGTTTCAGCATGAGGTCTACCCGCCCTGCAAACCAGAGTGCGCGTCTAGCCTCGTGGAGCAGCCAGTATCCCGGCAGGTGCTCATCGTGCAGGATCTGGAAATTCGGGATCGTCTGGCAACATCACAGATGAATAAATTTTTGTACCTGTATTGCAGTAAAGAAATGCCTCGAAAAGCTCATTCCAACATGGTAAGATTTAAAACTTCATATGTTTTGTTGTTACATTTGTTTTGAAAAAGTATTTCTATTATATCTAAAATATATGTAAATTATACCTATTATAACTGCAGAAGATTTAGATTGGGGAAAATTATGAGATTTTCATTTTAATATTAAAATCCCTTTCAAATATGCTGCTTAAAGTTTTATGTTTAAAAAATTATTTTGGGACTTCCATGGTGGTCTAGTGGTTAAGACTTTGCCTTCCAACGCAGGGGGTGTGGGTTTGATCCCTGGTCATAGAGCTAAGATCCCACATGCCAAAGACCAAAAGACCAAACACAAAACAGAAGCTCTGTTGTAACAAATTACTGGAGGAAATGCAGAAGTCTGTGTGATCTACACAAAACACTCACACCAGGAGTTCCCGTGTGGTCTCCTGGACTTTGCACTCTGCACTCTCATTGCCAGGGGCCCAGGTTTGCTAACCTGGTTAGGGAACTAAGACCCCACAAGCCACACAGCGTGGTCAGACACACACACACATGATATTGACACAGAATTGTTAGCAGTGTTCCAGATTTCTAACTTTTACAATTTTAGTAGCATAGAAATGCTCAGCTCAGGACTTTCAGAAGAAAGCATTATAGAGGTTACCTTTGGAGTATGGGTCTATGGATCTAGATTCAGGGGCTTAGCAAACTCCTTTGAGACTGCAAGTATGACATTATCATTTGCTTTTTTTCCCTCTAAAGAGAATCCGTATCTTTCATCAGATTCTTGAAAGAGTATGTGACCAAAAAAAGTTAGATTCTAAGGAAAGAGGGTAAACCGACTTTCTATTCTAATATAGGGACTAGATATAGGATTTTTCTCTCTCTCTCTCTCTTTTTTTTTTAATGAAAACAAGGTCATAATGTTATTGGGGAAAAATGTGTTTCTCTTTCTTATCTTGCAGTTGACAATTAAAGCATTACACGTGCGCCCAGAGTCTGGCAGGTCCCCACAGGAGTGCTGCCTAAGAGTGTCACTAATGCCACTTCGCCTCAATATTGACCAGGTTTGTATTGCAAACATAATGCATGGAGATATGATTAAATAGATATCCCATGTTCAGAGTGAGAAATTTAATTTAGTAGAATTATAATTTTGTTTATAATTTAAAGTTTATGGAGGTTGCATAATTAAAACAGAGTTCCTCTGGTAAAGGACAGGACAGATTCATTAGGTGTTGAAATCTGAACTGTGAGTAAACATTGTTAGATGTTATCCTCCAGTCTCCTACTTGCTGTCTACGTGACAGAGCACTTAATAGCTGCCTCTTATGTTCTTTGACCTTTACACACGTACTCCTGATGCAGATATACAGGTGTTTTCAGGAGATGAAAGGACTCCTTAATATGTATTATTGGAAGGTATAGGGGACTGTAATCACAGCACCTGTAAAGGAATTCCTGGGCAAAATGACAAATTAGTAGATTGGCGCTTAAACAGGTCACAGATGAAACAGATTTATGGAGGTAAAGAAACTCATTCTCCTGTATTCTAGCAAGCCCCCCGTCAGACAGCTCTGGGCTTTGCACTCGCCCAGAGAGCAGTCTGGAGCACAGTTGGCGCTCCTCCACCAGCTCTGGGCAAGGCCTCTGAGGACGGGGCGCTCTGCAGTGTGGTGGTGAGAGCATGGGCTTCACCAGACCTGGGCTCACATCTCACTTCTCTTTTACTAATGTGTGCCTTCGGGTAAGTAACTAACTCTCTAAGCCTCAATTTCTTCACTGATAAAATGGAAAACATAGTACATGTAACATCACTTTTTAAAACATGGGGATTAAATGAGACTAGTGTCTGTAAAACACTTAGCTTGGTGCCTGGCATGCAGTGTTAAAGATCATAAGTGTTAACTGTTACCATCATTAACTGAAGCATATAACAACTATAGAAAATAAATGGAGTTTTTATAATGATCTGCTTTTGAAATAACAAAGCCTTGCTGTTGTATCATATATATTGTTGTGAGCTCAGGTTTGGAAGCAGCGTATATGTTGGGTAGTATTATTTGTTTGCTTAGTAATATTGATTAAATAATGTTGATTCACTATTTAAATAAGTAGCAGATATATCAGGAATAATCTTAAATGATGTTTATATTGTAAACAAACTATAGGCCTAGCTCAGAGAAAATGTATTGTGAAGCACAGACGTGCAGCACAACTTTACTATGTGTGGCTTCTGAGCTGGGTCAGACTTGCCAGTGTGTGCTTAGACTTTTGTTTTCTCATTATGATAAGAATCTTTACAAGTCTGTATTTTAGTTTAATTTATCCATATTGGCCTAGTAGGAATATGATGCGAAGTATTTATGGGAAATTCAGTCTGTGAAAAAATCACCAGTGTGAGCAAGAATTTGAGCAAGATTTATCTTTATGGCATGACTTTACCAGACTTAACAAGACCAATTTTCTCTAATAAGCTTTTTCTTTAATACTGAATGTTGATTTCTTCTGTAGAACTGTAAAACAGTATGATTTTAAAATGGAGAAACATTAATCTTAGCAAAAAAAAAAAAAAATCAGGGAAATAAATGTTATGACTAAACTGAGGAGGAAAGGGAAATAATTTCCCAAGATGTGAAACCTACGGAAACAAAGCCATGCTACAAACGTATATGCCTTAGTGAGGAATATTACGATACAAAAGAGTCCTGTCTTCTAAGACTGACATACCATGCCAAACAGTCATTTGAATAGCAAGCCAAATTTGTATTTTTCTTTTAAAAACAAATCAGTTGATGAATGATAATGTTTTGAGTAATATGTTTTTTACCAAGCATATCTCTGACTTTATCCTAACTGGATCAGAGCAACATGTTGTTTGCTCATGTTTTTCAAAAGCTGCATTGCTGTTGACATTTGCTGCAGTTGCTTCCAAAGCTCAGGGTACCTGTAGGACAGGCAGGACACTGGGGTCACTAAGATGGAGTGATTTCCATGTAGGGAGGTAAGGAGATGATGGAGGTTGTGTAAGTAGGATGCTTGAGATCCGAAATCTGAAGGGGCCAGATTTCCTGACTTCCTTAGTCTGGTGATCATTTTAGTATTGAACTGCCTTTAAATCTGTGTAGGGAAGACGTCAGTTCAGTTCAGTTGCTCAGTCATGTCCAACTCTTTGCGACCCCATGGACTACAGCCTTCCAGGCTTCCCTGTCCCTCACCAACTCCCGGAGCTTGCTTAAACTCATGTCCATCAAGTTGGTGATGCCATCCAACCATCTCATCCTCTGTCGTCCCCTTCTCCTCCTGCCTTCAATCTTTCCAAGCATCAGGGTCTTTTCCAATGAGTCATATTAATTCCAAATCATTTGCTGAGTGATTGTCCCAGGTCTGAACTAGGATGCTGGGAATACCTAGATGAAGAAACATCCCTTCCTCAGAGATCTCTGTGTAATGGAGAGACTGCCAAAAAATCAGAGAACTTTAACACCCTGTGATAAAGATAGGCATAAAGATAAGTCCTGCTGAAAGAGGACTTTTAGGCTGGGCTGGGAGTTTGGAAGATGAGAGGTGATCAGGAAAGGCTTTCTGGAGGTAACACTCAAGCTGGTCTTAAGGAATGTAAAACTATGAATATTTGCAAAGGCATTGAGGGCCTAATTCAGGTTATGAGATGAGATGTGAGGCCATTGGGTAGGACAAGTGCCCAACTGAGGTGGGAAATGGTGAACATGTAGCAGCACCAGTTTGCATGTTTGTGATTTTTTTCAGCATCACCTGAGTATGACATTGAAAGTAATTCTTTTAAACCTTAAGTCATATCTCACTGATAGTAGCCTTTATCATAGGACCTTAAAGCTAGAAATAACTGTTTTATAGTTCAAGTTTAGTATAAATAAACAGTATTTTTTAAAGTTTAAAAAAATGATTGTACTGAGGTATAATTTGTATATAATAGGCAGAGATTTTTTAGGTATACAGTTTGAGTTTGACAAATATATACACTTGAGTAACTACTGCACCAGTTGAGATATAGAACAGTTTTTGTACCCTACAAAATTCGCTTGTGTCCTTTTGTGGTCAGTCTATCATCCCAAAGCAGCTGCTGATCTCACTTCATTACTGTAGAGCAGCTTTTTTTGTTCTACAGCTTATAAATGGAATTGTATCTGGCTTCCTGTTCTCAACATTATGCCCAGGAGATTTTTCTGAGTTGTAGCATGTATCAGCAGTCCATTCATTTTTATTCCTGAGCAGTGTTTCATTGTATGGGTACAACAACTTGTTTTTTCATTTATTTACTAATTTACAATGGATTGTTTTCTTGTTTTTGGCTCTTAATGGATAAAGCTGTTATGAAATTTGAAGTCTTTTAATGGACATATTTTTAAGTTTTCTTGGGTAATTATAAACAGGATGTCTAGGTCATAGGGTGAATGTGTGTTTGCAATCATAAGAAGCTGCCAAATAGTTTTCCACAGTGGTTGTACCATTGCAGGTTCTCAGCAGTAACCGATGAGAGCAACAGCTGCTTCACGCTCTGACCAGACTTGGTGTTGTCTTTTTAATTTTGGCTATCTTATTTGGTGTTCATTGCCGTTTTAATTTGGATTTCCCTGATGACTAATGATGCTGGGCATCATCTCGTGAGCTTATTCAACATTTGTACATCTTCTTTTTTGAAGTGTGTATCTTTCTAGTTTTAAAGTTAGGTTGTTTGTCTTACTGAGTTGTAGGAAAGATTGAGGGCAGGAGAAGAGGGCGACAGAGGATGAGGTGGTTGGATGGCATCACTGACTCAATGGACATGAGTTTGGGCAAGCTCCAGGAGATGGTAAAGGACAGGGAAGCTGGCGTGCCACATGCATTCTATGGGGCTGCAGAGTCGGACATAGCTGAGCGACTGAACAGCAAAGGAGTTTAGCATAAACACCAAAATCAAACATTTGGAGAACACTTTGAAAAGCTGATGATTAGTATCCATTTGTTGTTGTAGTAAAAATGTGTAAAAACCACTGCTTTGTTAGTCGTCCTTTTCTCTTTTTTTTGGAAGGCAGTCATAGAAGCAAAACATTTATAGTATTAAAATATTGCCATCTGGTGGCAAATGGATAACATTTTATATGCTATTAACATGTAATACTTGATATATGTATATATCATATCTGGGCTTCCCAGGTGGTGCTAGTGGTAAAAAACTGCCTGCCAGCACAGGAGATGTAAGAGATGCAGATTCGATCCCTGCACTGGGATCCCCTGGAGGTAGGCATGGCAACCCACGAGTATTCTTGTCTGGAGAATCCCGTGGACAGAGGAGCCTGGAAGCCTGTAGTTCATAAGATCGCAAAGAGTCGGACATGACTGAAGCCACTTGACATGCACATGCACATGTACCACATATATAGCGATTTATAATAAGTGTATATAATGTAAATAATATATAAACATCTACATAAATACATATGTGTAAAGAGTAATAATATAATGACCAATTCATCAGCTTACTCCCCGACTGCAGAACTGGAATATCCTAATACTATTGAAGCTGTCTGCTTGTTCTTCAGTCTAGACCTCAGTTTCTCATATGCAACATTATGTAAAAAATACCTTTTTAACGTCCATCATTGATCCCTCTGACAAGTGTGATCAGTAGTGGATCAGACCCTTTGGAACACCACTCAGGCTTTCCGTGTGCTGCTGCATATTGTGACCCTGTGATTCACCTTCACATTGTGTTCTGGTGCAGTTTTAATGTTTTATATTAAGTTAAGATTGTTTTTAATGGAAAGGAAGAATAAGAAAGAACAGGCTCAGGTATTTAATTTTCATAGTCTCTAAAATGGATTTGTCAGTTGCTATGAAGCTGCTAATAATGGGCAAAAATGGCTTGCATGTACAACATTAAGACCAGTCCAATTTCAGAAGAGACCACACTGAGTGGGTGATTTTATTTACTTTTAGTTTTTACTTTGAATATCATGTCCAGTGAAGAAAATGTACTCAGGCAATATAGTCTTAAAAGCAGAAATAAGACATTAAGAACTTTTAAGTCATGTCTAAGTATTGAGTACTTGCTAGCTGCTATTATTATTGTTAGTAATACTCCTGCTACCAATTCAGAGAGCCAATGCCAAATAAGAAAGAGACTGCTATATTTCTATGAAAACTAAAATGTTCTTTGATTTAGAAATAGCCATTTAATTTCTAACTCATCTGTACATTAATTTCCACATCTATAAATTAATTTTCTCAGAGTTGTGAGAATTAACAAGGGCGAGTGTGAGAGAGAAAGGAATTGAGAATAGGCACAGTGTAGGCACTGGATAAATTATAGCTGTATATGATGAGTGAAATGTGAGACTTCATGGTTCTTTGTTTCACAGTTTTAAAAAAAGCTGCACCTTTTTAAACCCTTTTAGTTATAGTTATATCTCTCAATTTTAGGATGCCTTGTTCTTCTTGAAGGATTTCTTCACAAGTCTTTCTACAGAAGTAGAGCTTCTCATGACTCCAGATCCAGAAGGTATTAAATATGTAGAATTTGAAAAAGTCTATAGTGTGTACTTGGATTGATTTTAATTGTTACGAGACCTTTTTGAGAATGTACTTACAGATCTTTTCTCTCATTTATATAAATGTGTTCCATGATTATTTTTCTTAAGTTGTGCATGTGTAGTTTATGTAAAAGTACTGTAGTTCCCCCTTATCCTCAGGAGATATGTTCCAAGACCCCCAGTTGGTGCCTAAAAGTGCAGATAATACCAAACCCTAAATGTACTAAGTTTTTTCTTTACATAGTAGCCTATGACAAAGTTTAATTTATAAATTAGGTACAGTAAGAGACTAACAATAATAACTAATAAGAACAATTATAATAGTATACTGTAATAAAAGTTAGGTGAGTATGATCTCTTTCTTTCTCTCAGAATATCTTATACAAATTTAATGACTTTTCCATCTTAGCTAAACACTTACCATGCACTGTAGCTGTAACCTTTGTAGTTTGAGGTACAACAGCAAAATGGGCATGAATTCCCTTTTCCTTCATCACAGTTTCACAGATTTGTTCTTACTGTAGAGCTTAACAGGCTGAGCATATTGATTTTTTTTGTCCTTATTAAGTCAAGAACTTTCATCTTTTAACTTAATATATTATGGCTTCTCTTTGGTATATCGGAATTGCCAGCATCACTGTTCTTGCGCTTTGGGGTCATTATTAATAAAATAAGGGTTACTTAGCATAAGCACTGACCTAATAACCAAGACGTCCACCCAGTGGCTCATGGGCGGGATATACTGGACAGAGGGCTGATTCACCTTCCGGCGGGGCAGAGAAATGGTGCAAGATTTCATCATGCAGCTCAGTGGTGTACAGCTGAGAACTTAGTTGTTTATTTCTGAAATTTTCCACTTCGTATTTTTGGACCATAGTTGACCTTGGAAAGTGAAACTAAAGATGGAGAGGGGGCTACTGTGAAAGATTTATCTATAGCAGTAGTTGTATTTATTAAACGAAATACTGTAAAACAAGTTAATTGTAGATTGGTTTAAGTTGGTCTAAAGAAGCATACCTAATTTTCCAAATGTGCACATTACCTTTTCAGTTAAAAAGTCTCCTGGGGCTGATGTCACCTGCAGTTTGCCAAGGCATTTAAGCACCTCAAAAGAGCCAAATCTAGGTCTTTCTTTCCCTGGGCCAAAACAGCCTTCCCCAAATGGCAGTGCCGATTCAGTGCAAGCGGTTAATGGGGAAGAAGAGAAGGACTTCTCTCCTGAAGAAGCGTTGTTTAGTGATCAGCCTGTGTTTTTTAGGTAAATCATTCAATTTTGACAACAAAAGACGTTATTTTAGAGTTTGAAAGTTGTTCTTTAATGTGTTTGTGTGACACAGAAATCGTGGCGTAACCTCAGCTTTTCTCACTGGCAAATAATCAGCGGGTATGAGTCAGACATGACCGAAGCGACTTAGCACACAAACTTGCATACTTATTTATATGAGGCTTCCTGGGTGGTGTCAGTGGTGAAGAATCCGCCTGCCAGTGTAGGAGACACAAGAGATGTGGGTTTGATGCCTGAGTTGGGAAGATCCTCTGGAGGAGGAAATGGCAACCCATTCCAGTATTCTTGCCTGGAAAATTCCGCGGTCCGTGGAGCCTGGTGGGCTACAGTCCATGGGAGTCTAAATTAGAGTTGGACATGGCTGAGTGTGCGCATGCACACACACACACACACACACACACACACACGCTTGTATGTGGGCCCTGCCCACATGCACCTCTCATTTACACCTAGTGCCTGGAAAATTCCATGGTCAGTGGAGCCTGGTGGGATACAGTCCATGGGAGTCTAAATTAGAGTTGGACATGGCTGAGTGTGCGCACACACACACACGCACGCACGCACGCTTGTATGTGGGCCCCGCCCACATGCACCTCTCATTTATACCTAGTAACCCTGGCTCAGGGCTCATCCTCCTGTTGACCCTGTAGCAGGAATTTTCTCTTCTCTTAGTTTCTTCTTTTTTCCTCTTTCTGCTCACTCTCAGAGCCTGTTAGTGTCTCCATGACCGTGATGCTGTCTCTTTCCCTCACACACCTCACCTTCAGCACCCCTCCCTTTTCCCTTACGGGGATTTTCTGTCTGGTTTCTCTGCCCTTCCCTATCACTGCTGTGTCTTGTGACCCTCTGCTCTCTGGCTAAGTTGGCATCATAGGGAAACCCGGATCCCTACACTGCTGCTGGCTGCCGTGACTACAGCCAACCACTAGCTGGTTGCCTGCCATTTCCAGTTCCATTCATTCTTCCCTTCTTTCTTTCCCAGCCCTCGATGGTGGGGATGGAACCTAGGCTCTATTGGAAGGAAAGAGGTCAAAGATCAAAACCACCTCTGTTATGAGAGACAACTCCCTTCCCTGGTTTCCTGTACTCCTCTCCTGCTGACATCAGTGTTCCCCAAGTTCTGTCTTTCTCTCTAAGGTTGGACTTTGGCCCAGAGTGGGCAGTTGTCGTTCAGTCACTGAGTCAATGTCTGACTCTTTGCAACCCAATGGACTGTAGCCCCCCAGGCTCCTCAGTCCACAGGATTTCCTGGGCAAGAATCCTGAAGTGGGTTGCCATTTCCTTCTCCAGGGAATCTTCCTTACTCAGGAGTCAAACCCGCGTCTCCTGCATTGGCAGGCAGATTCTTTACCACTGGGTCACCTGGGAAGGTCTCAGTAGGCAGTACAACTATTTTAAAGTGTTTTCATGTTTTGAATATCTTGTGTATTGATGAAGATAGTCAGAAAATATAATAGAATGTGAGAATTGGAAAGATCCTGAAATAGAGGATCTCTGGTGATTCTTAACTTTTCTTTCATAAAGGAAGAGCCTCTTTTATTATTTTCCTACTTTGCTTTTTTACTAAAAAATTTTTTCTACCAAAAAATTGTGTGTCCTAAGAAATAATTTGAATTCTCACTTTAAATTAATCAACGTATAAGCTGCCGATTTTTGTTTTTTGTGAACACTGGATAACCATTATAAAAAAAAATCAAATCGTTACAATTCTGATTTGAGAACATGGAAACTTGGCACTTTTTAATCAGTTTGTGTAGACTCACTTACTTAGGTAAATGTTTGTTTTTTCCACTAGACTACTTAATAGCTTGTAGATTTCTATTTCTACTCTCAAAAACTGCTAGAGTGTCTAGGACCCTGGTGTAATACTTAGTGATATAGTTTAGATTACTCACTTTACTGACGAGGAAGTTAATGCAAGAGAGGAGAGGTGACTTGCTCAAGGCCACACAGTTAGTGGCCACGCCAGGACTAGAATGGAGGTCTTCTTAATCCCAAATTCAGTACATTTTCCAATTAATGACATAATAGTCTCCTCTCCTACAAACATTTATTCACTCCACAAATATATATTGAACACATTATGTGTATGTCAGATTTTATTCTAGGTACAGTGAACAGAGTAGAGAAAAATACTGAGTTGAGTTTACAGATAATTAAAATATTTGATGTACCTTATTGCATGCCTTGGAGGAACAGTGAGACAGGTAGCAGAGCTGTTGCGGGGCCCTTGCTGTAGAACCAAATACAGACGGGCGTTCGGAAGATGAGGGGTGACCTGGACCCCAGACTCCCGCAGTCACTGATGTAGGTTCAGCATTTCCTTTTTACTGTAGGTTAAGGACTTTTGCAGGGTTACTTGGGATGACTTAGTGTATAACCACTGACATTAATTCTGTAGTAAAATGTGTTTCAACTTGAAATTTATAGTCCAACTTTTGGAAGCCAACTGCTTTTGTTTGATGTGTATAGTTGTAATTTCATTCAGAATCCTCAAGTGTGTCAGTATCCTGTTTATAGGCATTAATTTCAAAAATGTTAAAATTCACCAATGTAGATGGGGTTTAAAAATTAACTGATGAAGACACTTCGGCTCAGAGAGTTTAAATTACTTGCCTTGACTGTATCCCATATAACTGATAAAACTAGGGTTCATGTTGGGGTCTTCTGGATCTTTGTTTCATCATGGAACTAAAATAAATACCTCAGCTCTTCTTTTTTACTTCTTGGTGATGATTATATTATTTGGTTTTTATTAGTTTGCTCTTTGTATGAATTGAATACCTGCCAGAATAAATTTCTCTAACTTAAATTTTGTTTAGTAAATGAGGAAAAGGTTTTTAAAATATAATAAATAAAATTTATAAGATTAACATTGTTTAGTTGTTATATTGTCTTAAGAAGGTATACGGCTGAAAGACATTTTCTTTTATTTAGATCTTAATATATTCATATTGTTTATTTTGTGGTTTTTATTCTCCAGTTGAAAAGGTTAATTTACATCTAATTTCAGCTATTAGTAATTTTTAATATAAATAACTCCCCTTCTTTCTTTATCTTCAGAGAATTTAGATTCACATCAGAAGTTCCTATTCGACTTGATTATCATGGGAAACATGTATCAATGGATCAGGTCTGGAAATTTTGCACAAATATACTCTACAGAATTATCTCATTTGTTTTTCTAGTGCATTCAGTTTTTAGGAAACTTTTTCCATCGTAGTTTATATGTTTGAAATGAAGTGTAAGATTTTAAAATTTAATTCTATTTTTAAAGTAAATATAATTTACTTAAGAAACTATGAGTAAAATTTGGATGTCAGTTGGGTCTTATAAAATACATGTACTTTTTTGATATAAATATTTTAGGTGTTAGCTTAATTAGTGAATTTTTTTTTAATTTTAAAGGGTACATTAGCTGGGATTTTGATTGGTCTCGCCCAGTTAAACTGCTCTGAACTAAAGCTGAAGAGGCTTTTCTATCGACATGGGTAAGTTGATTTATCATATGAGACTTTAAAATGTAGTTACTAAAGTTAGTTTACAGTTAACCAACATACATAATTTAATTATTTTACAGTGTTATTTGAAGAGAGCTCATTTTTAGAGGATTTTTACTGGCTAGGGGCTATTTTTTTATTCTGAGAGAATAGTAGTAGTTTGAAGAGAGCATTTCACTAAAAAACAGCCGTAGTTAGGATTTTTTAAATAATTTCCCAAAGTTATAAATTCGCCTATATGGAAGTTCACAAGGTCCTTAGTAGCTAAGAACTGTGTGACAATTTATAGATGTTGAATTAATCCTATGCCAAAGCTTTAGATGTTAAAGAAGTAAAAACAGTGGAAATGCACACTTGTGTATATTACCTTAGCCTTTTATAGAAATTATTTGCATTACAAGTAGGTTAAATGTATGTGTATACACACACACACACACACACACACACACATATAGTAAAATTGAAAATCTATAAAATTTCGTCCATGTAATTTGTAGATTTTTTTGCCTTAAGTGAAAAGAACAAAAAATATCCCCCAAACTGTGTAAACGTATAAATTTCACTCTTCTTCCCATATACTAATAGTCATTTTCTCTAGTTTGCTAGGTGTGGACAAATTATTCTCATATGCAATCTCCGAATGGCTTACTGACATTAAGAAGAACCAGCTGCCAGGAATCCTGGGAGGCGTTGGGCCTATGCATTCACTAGTACAACTAGGTGAGTGTTCTTTTTTAATTAGAAGATAATTTATTTTACCTGATCAGTGATTCTTAACCCGTTTGGGATTTTGAATGCCTTTGAGAATCTATGTGAGGATCATCTTTCTAGAAAAATCTACCTGTTCGTCATACACAACAAATGTTGCGTCCCATTTTAGGGGTTAAAAATCCAAGGGTCAGAATGATACCAGAGATTTGAGCTCCAGTGGTCCTATTTTTCTTTTTAAATGTTTTCTTATTGTGATAAAAGTCACATAATATAAAACATGCTATTTTAACTGTATTTAACGGTACACTTCAGTGGCACTGAGTATGTTCAGTTGTTGTGCTGCTCTCACCGTCATCTATCTCCTGAACTTTTCACTCTCCTAAACTGAACTCTGTCCGCATTAAACTCTTAAGTCCTCATTCCTCGCCACCCTCCTGACCCACCTCCGGCATCTGCCAGTGTATTTTCCGACTCTGTGAGTTTGAGGAAAACACTCGCCTGTTCTAGGCGCCTTGTGTAAGTGGAAGCGGGCAGTGCTTGTCTTCCCCGCTGCGCTCCAGCGTCCCTGTTAATCTCTGTGTCGACTGTTGTTCCAGTGCAAGGCCTCAAGGACCTGGTCTGGCTGCCAATCGAGCAGTACCGGAAGGACGGCCGCGTCGTCAGGGGGCTGCAGAGGGGGGCTGCCTCCTTTGGCACCTCGACAGCGATGGCTGCTCTCGAGCTCACGAACAGAATGGTTCAAGCCATACAGGTGACTTGGGGTAGACCAGTGTAATCTCCAGAAAGAGGAGGAGCCGCTGTAAACACTCGCCTTGTTTTGGTTTTAAAATGGCACTGTGAAAATGTTTAAACCCTGAGAATAGTTTATTTGTCATGACTTGGTATCATTACATTTTTTTAAATTATCTGTCCATTGTTACATAATTAGTAGAATTAAGTGGTGGACTACAGTGTCAAATTTGTTTGCCTGTTTCAGGTAAATTATCACTGTTAAGTTAGCCAAAGATTTATTATCACTACCTTTCTGTGGTAAGATCACAGCTGAATGTAATGACGGCACTAGAGATCCAATAGTAGTTGTATTCAGGTTTGCTATTAAGTATTAAACTCCAGTTGGCCTTATCCAGTTGAGCAGAGACCACGCATTCTTGTCTAGCCTAGAGTGTTCTCAGAAGAGAGATGAGGAACTGAATAAAGCTGCTCAGTGCAGATAATAATGTATACGTTAACATTCTTGTTACAAAAGGAGTACATTCTGGTTATAAAGACTTCAGACGCTGCAGAAGGGCCTGCCTGAGGGTGGGAGTCCCTCTGCTGTCCCTCACTCCCCTTAGGAAGTGCACTGCTGGAGCACACCTCCCCAGACTTTGTTCTGACTCCCCTTTCCTCTCTGGTGAAACCGTCCAGGCAGCGGCAGAGACTGCGTATGACATGGTGTCTCCAGGCACCCTTTCCATCGAGCCCAAGAAGGTCAGAAGGTTCCCCCATCACCGGTTAGCCCACCAGCCAGTGGACCTGAGGGAAGGGGTGGCCAAGGCCTACAGTGTCGTGAAGGAGGTGAGTGGCTGCCCCAGGGGATGGGCCGGGAGCAGTTGGCATCCTTTCCTGGAGTTTGTCTAAAGAGCATCAGGGCTTGGGCTTTGTTCTGAAGGAACCCCAAGGGTGGCTTTGGGACTGTTTTGCCACTGATGAGTGCAGATATGTGCGTAGGTAAGAGGGGAGGGCTACGTCCTGGCCTGCAGGCTCTCAAGACTAGCGATCTCACGGGAAGACTGGTCTCTTCATGGACAGAGGCAAGCGGAGGCTGGTAGAAGCGCACCGTGAACTCACCAGGGAGGCTCACCACGTTTGTATTTTGCTGGTTTCCTCGGGTTTCTTTGAAAAGCAAATTTTTTTAGGTTAATCGCAAACCCTAATTCCGTTCCCATGCGTTCACAATCCTGAAGATGGTACATTTTTTTTCTATTCATGTTTTTATAGTTTCATATAAGTATGTCATCATAAGCAAATACTATTGTTTATATTTTTAAAGTTAGCATAAATGATATCATATATCTGTAAATTTTGTCTTTCAAGATACATCCTTGTTGATATATGTAGGTCTGATTTAAACTTTTATCATGTTTCATTGTGTGAATATAGCATAATTTATTTATCTTTGTGTTGGTGGACAGTTTCCATTTTTTTCCCTAAAATACTGCTATTGGAATGTCATTTAAATGTCCCTTTGTTCACATGTGCAAGAGGTTATTAAAGGTGGAATTGGTGATTTGTAACTGTTTGAATCCTGAGACTTATTAAGCGTTGCCAGATTTATTAAGTATTGCCAGATTGTAATTTAGTTGCACCAGTGAATCCTGGTCCTTTATGGATGTTGACGGGAGCATTCCCTCTGTGTCTTAATCTTTTTCTTTTTTTAATTGACATATGAGGAAGTTTGAGGTTATTTTACTTATGATTTGTGTATTAGGATTTCATTAACGATATTTTCCCCTCTCATATTCTGACAGACAGAAGTGCCTTAGGACAGTCTTTTACCTGATAAAAGTAACCTCTGTGGTTCCAAATGCAGGAAGACCACTGAAGTAAGCATATGTATTAGTGGCTAAATAAAGGCAAGGCCACTGGTCACCTCTCTTAAAAAGAGATTTAGTCGGGAGAATGAAGAGAGCTGATTACCTATCAGATCTGTTCCTATAGATGTCAGGATTGGGCCAGTTATCAGTAGACATGTTAGAAATCAGGTTTGTAAAGACGATCCTGGGCTTTCAGGCATAGCAGGGGCGGCTGGCAGCAGGGTATTATAGCACTTGGGTATGCAGCACTTTGGGCTTCCCGGATGGTGCGGTGGTAAAGTCTCTGCCTGCCAGTGCAGGAGACACAGGAGATGGTGGTTGGATCCCTGGGTCGGGAGGATCCCCTGGAGAGGGAATGGCAGCCCGCTCCAATGTTCTTGCCTGGAGAGTCCAGTGTACGCAGGGGCTTGGCAGGCTGCAGTCCATGGGGTCACAGAGTCAGGCACGATTGAGCAGCTAGCACTTCCCTTCACAGATTGTGAAAGTGAAGACTAGCTTTGGGGCCAGGACACGGTTCCTTGATTTCCCTGAGAGCCTGAAGTTCTTCTCACTATGCCCCTCACTGAAGCAGCCACAAGAGGACAGTGCTTCGTGGCCCTTAGGGGTCCTGAGTTAGACAAACAGGAGAGATTCGAAAGCCATGTGTGACGGCTCACCAGTGACAGCAGTGTCACGTTTTACCACCCTGGCTTGACCTACGCATTTACACATTCAGCTCTAAAGCTCAGCAGTCAGGATTATTTTCATGTCACACAGTTGTAAGAAGAATGAAAAATGCTGCAAAAACTTCATTTCTGGTTATTAAACCTGTTCCTGCTTTGTGTTCTCAGAGTCTTCTCTCTTTAATAAAGTGTTCTATTTAGTCTCTTACCTTAATTGAATGTTCCAGTTATCTTTTCTAGTGCATAGCCAGTAATTTAAAACTAATTAAATTATTTTTTGGAGCTCAGTAGGATTAGGTTTTTCTGTTGGCAGTTGAAACACAGGAGTTATCGCCATATTCATTTAGTGATTATATTTATTCAGGAAGCTTTGTTTGCTAAATTTGATTTAACCAGAATGATTAATAGAGCCAGAGAAGCTACTCTTAGAGTATTAACTATTTCCGTGCACATCCCTGTGTGAAACTGTAGTCTAGCTACATTTTCTGTACCTAACTGTCACAACAAAATGCTGAATCACAATTATCCCTTTCCCTTTGGAGAAGAAAATGGCAACCCACTCCAGTATTCTTGGCTGGAGAATTCCATGGACAGAGGAGCCTAGTGGGCTATGGTCTATGGGGTCACAAAGAGTCAGACTCGACCGAGGGACTACCACTTTCCCTTAGAATTGTCATAAAAGTAATTATCGTGGGTTATCTCAAAAGTACAGTTTCTGCTTTGATTTCTGTCTGGTTACAAACCTGCTCTTGATGAACTCTATAGTTAGCATGTTATGAGATTATTTAGAGAGTCTTCTGAGCAGTGATTTACTCCCTTCTCTCCCCTCTTTCCTCAGGGAATCGCAGACACGGCTCAGACCATTTACGAAACCGCCGCTCGGGAACATGAGAGCCGGGGGGTGACGGGCGCCGTGGGGGAAGTCCTGCGCCAGCTCCCCCCAGCCGTGGTGAAACCTCTGATCGTTGCCACAGAAGCGACATCGAACGTCTTGGGTGGCATGAGAAACCAGATCAGACCAGATGTTCGGCAGGACGAGTCACAGAAGTGGCGCCATGGGGATGACTAATGTTTCAGATGAGATTCTTGATAAAGACGAGGGTGGAGATGTGGAGCAGAGGGTCCCCCCGGCGACTTCAGATGGAACTCATTTACTGTTATCGTGCTCATCTCAGGAACAAAACCATTTCTTAGTGAAATAATTTAGTATCAAAGCAACATGCAACCAAAACCTTTTGACATTTTAGGGCTAGTTGGTACTTGCCAGTAGACATGTTTGGTGGCTGGTGTCAAAAGTCCGTAAAGCATTTGCTGCCAAGTTAGTAGAATGCTTGCTCTTATTAAAATGACTGTAATTTTCCTTGTTACAGACAAGCTATCATTGGAAACCTCCTTTTACAGTACAGGGTGCTCAGAAATGTTTTGAGTACTTTGAAGGCACTATATTTATGTTGCTCCAAGGAGTTGATTTTTCTCCATGTTTAAAGAGAATCACAGCTTCGAAACTTTCATTAAAAATGAGAGACAGAAGCCACAGGGAAAATAAAGCAAATAGGATTTTCAATATAAATATCAGTGAGGAAAAAATAACCCAGTCTGTTGGATTTAGTGTTCACGCAGTCAAGAACGTCGTTTCCATTTGCTCAGAAAATCCTTCTATGGGAGTTTGAGAACGTGAATGTCGCAGACTTGTTCTGTTGTGTTGCACTTTATTATGTGTATGTGTGTGTGTGTGTTTAGATTAATACAAGTCATGTGCTATATTCTACATGTAATTTACAGAGTTACACAAACTATAAGGAGGACTAAGTATGAAGGTTTTTGGCAAAGGAAGGTAACTCAAATGTAACTTTCGTTTATTCTAAGTATAATGAAAATGTCATTCTATAATGAACTGGGGCCCATATAATTGTTTATTTGTTCAAATTTAAGCAGGTATAGTGCAAGCTTATTAGGGGTGTGTGGAAAGGGAGATTGAAAGTGGTTTTTACTTTTTTGAAATTAACCAAAAAAATCCTCCAAATATGCCCTAGTCAGCTATTTTGAAGCACCATTTTTACTTGGTTAACAGTGTACATTTTGATATTCTGTCAGGAATGAATAAAGTATTTTTATTTAAAGGTAAAGTTGTTTTATGCTTCCATGAATAGTTTGCTTCTCTTAGAGCATATTCATAGATGCAATGCTAGGATTTACTCCAAAATCCTTGAGAACACTTTCTCAAAATTGATTTTGGTTAATGTTAAGCAGATCATTACCTAGATGTGAGAAGGAAATTGTTCTCCAGAACTCCTTCTCTGATTTTAGATTAATCTAGCAGAAAGAAAACATAGGATTTTGTATTCATCCTGTATTTAAAGTGTCATGATGTGAACTCTCATTTCCTGGAATTGGGGGGATGTCATCGAGTTGAAGTTGAATTTCAGAACTACTTTCAGTTTGGGGTTTGAAAAATGACATTGGATCAGTTTCATTCTTGAAATTTTCTACAAGAAAGCAAAAATCTGAACATTTAAAATTGGTAAAATTTTGTTAAGTAGCGTTTAAGTCTGTCTTGTTCTCTTTATACTGCTGAAAAACTTGAATGGCCAGTGCTCAGAAAACCACCTATTGAAGCGTCAGAGGACCATTTGTTACTAGACCCCAGCTGGATGGAACCCACCTAGAATGTGGTCCTGAGTAAACACGAATCATAGCTGTTTACTGTATGAAGCTTCAGCCTGCTTCTGGGGTGCCTTCCGGGCACCCTTGCATCAATCCCAGCATTTTCCCTTGCACAGAACATGCTGGGTATGATATGTGTGATAAGGAATCAAACTGAAAAATGCTCAAATTTAAAAATATAAAATCTCCTTAACTTTTAAATATATTTTCCATACTGTATTTAATTGAACTTAATTAGTATAGGGAAAATAATCATCCTCTTCTCTGTACTCTGAGTTGCAGATGGACCCATTTTTTGACAAATTGGGTTTATAAGTCCCATTAAGCATATCTTTATTACGTAATTTCCATGGCTCTCTCTTCTGCCCTCCTGCACCTGCTTTTGATAGAATCCACCTTTGGGATCAGAAACCTTGTGTTTCAGAAAGATTTAGTGTCAAGGCGCTGTTATGGTCACTTTAACCAAGATGCTCTTTACCTGAGATGTTTACGTGGAAGAACTATGTGTGTATTTGAACACTTTGCCATTGTTAAATATCCGTATTTTTTTTCTTTTTTAATAGTGTCTTTTCTAACTTTTACACCATGCTGACACGGTAAAGAGTGTGGCAGGATGCTTGTGTGGCCAGGTCTGTGACTTACCTAGTGGTGACTTGGCCAAGACATTCAGCTCTAAGCCTCAGTGTCCCCCTCTGTAAATGAAGGGGCTTCATACGACAGCAGAGATTTTCAGACGATTGGAGCATACGCACGTGTGCGAGCGAGCGTGCGAGTGTGAATGATGGTGTGGGGTGTAGCACTCAGTTATGGGTCCCAGGCCTGTGACACCTTGAACATGGCATTGCCAGAGTCCTGGCCGTATGACACCCACAGAAGCCCCGGCTCCTCCAGGTCTCTGGTCTCTCAGACCAGTGTGTTTCTGGACGGTGCCTTCAAGGCTGACCTCTGAGTGGAGTAGACAGCATGTCCGTGTATCGCTGCATTGAGTCCGTGTGTGTATCTGCCTGAGGGGCCAGGTAAGCACGCTTGATCAGGAAGCATCAGTGAGTTTCAGAACCTCACGGGGTTACAGGAACACAGTAAGACCGCCTTACATGATAAAGGCAGCAGGGGCCATGGTGATGTCTTCTCTTGATTCGGGCTGATTGGGATCCCCCGATTTCTCTGTCTGTCCACAGATGGCTATCGTTTACTAGTACAATGTCCGCTCAGCACTCGCCTTTTAGGACAGATAGGATGGCATGTTTTTTGTAGATATCATAGCAAAGACTTCCATTTTAGTAAAGCTTGAGTCCAATTTGGACTCCCACTTAAGCACATGTATGTAACGTCAATATTTTTATAATACAGAACTCAAGAAAAAAAAAAAATCTTCCCAAGTAGCAGTGTGCCTAAAATGGCAAAAAGACAAAAAACTAGTATTTCTTGCTCCTGCTATGTGTCACTTTTAAATGCTGTTGAAATAGTTTCAGTTTTTAAGGGAATTACTTTTTAACCATCTCCTTTAAAAACTGTGTTCTGTAGGTTTGGTGCCTTTGTTCAGTTCTCAAACAGGCAAAACAACTACATCTGCTGCTTGGGGGCCGCTTGCCGCCCTCGGGTACCATCGAGTTGGGTCGTGTGCCCCAAATTTGCCCTCACCAGAGACAAGAGACAGGGCAGAGGTGGAGTTCAGCAGTTTTAAACCAGAAGTCCACACTTGCACTAGGTAGTTTTAGGATTAACAATTTATTATCTTAACATTAATTTAGATCTTATATATATATATATATATATAAAAGCCACGTGACCTGACTTCAGAATAATCATTTAACTCTGCTTTGCTTCAGTTTTCTCAGACCCCCGTCAGGTGTGTTTCCTCAGCTTCATGGGGACTGTGGCAGGGCTAGTGGTCTGCGGCGAGCAGTCTATTCCCTGCTTCCCTTCACGTCCTCTTGACCGACCTAAGACATGGAAGAAAATGTCTGTAAACTTCTTTAAGCCTCTTGAAAGTAAAAGGCCCTATGCAAATACAAAGTGATACTTGGTGTCTGCAGATGCATCAATTGGATGTACCCATTGGTACCGAATTGAATAAATCAAATATAAGTTTGTGAGTCTCAGGTTAAAAAGCAAAGTTGTTTAGGTAGTGTATAAATAGTGAAGGGGGGGGGTGGAAATCTTACCAAGAAATCTTGTTTCTTTTTACTGGAAGATACAGTCAGTCTTTTCATTGAGAATAACTGAGTGCTTTAATGCCAATTTATTTTTATCTCAATAGTTTCAGGATCATGCTAGGCACTCTGCTCCCTGTAATAGACTTTATATGCACAGTTGCAAGTCAGCCAGTTTTAATCAAAAGAATTTCCCTTTCATTGTAGTGTCTATAAGTCAAAAATAGAGAAGGCTTAGTACATCACGATTAGCTTCTTTGGGAGGGGCTGGGATAAGAAATTTAAGTGAGTTTCAACAATTCATATTTTGAAGTGTCAGCAATTTTTAAAAACAGAGGTGTTAGACTTTTTTTTTTTTTTTTTTGCCTCCTGTACCCTGTCAGCCCCTTCGTTTCAAGCACATAGCCTCATGGAAAACACCAGAATGCGATCTGATGTATTTCAGGAGACTGTAGATGTGATGTTGGCTGACTCAAGGACATCTCTAGTGCTGTGTGTGTTGGGGGGGGGGGGGGCGGGGTTGAAATAGCAGCCCCTCCTTTTAAGAATGTGTTTACTTTGCTGTTTCACATGTATTTTGTGTATATGAAATGGCAGCTTCCAGTTTCTAGTTGGATTTGTCTTACATTGTTTGTATAATTTGCCAGTCACACAGGACTGTTTGCTTTTCCATTGCAAAATTTGGTAGGGACTCCAATTCAGCTCTTATGTTAATCCATCCTGATTTATTTTGGACACTGAATTGATCTCACCTCAAGTAAAAAACACGTCGTGTATGTTGACTGTCATTGTTGCTGTTTCCTCATGGAAGTAATTCTAAATGTAAATACTTTAAGAATACTGATGCTGTATGGTATTTTTGTGGAAATGTTAACTTGTTAGTGTGACTATTTAAAGTATTATGAATTTAAGGATATTCTTGAAGAAGATTAAAATATTTACTCTTTGGAGTTTGCTTTAAATACTATGGTCTTTCTCCAAGAAATGCTCCCTGTATAAAAAGCCTGTTTAACATTTTTTGAAGCAGAGGGTAGGTCTGTGTCAGATCCTGTTCTTGGGAAATGGTCTTCCTCTGATCCTGGTACTTAGAGCAACTCTTATAGCTACCTGCTACCAATTTCTGAGAAATCAATATATAGGGTATATTCTGTTAGAGCTTGCCACTCCTTCCCCCTTTTGGATATTAATTGCTACATTAGTTATTTTATCTCTAAAATGTAGACTTGCAGCAAACACATTAGTGTTTATGAGG